GTTTTTATTGCGTGCAATCAGTCCAAATCCGCCCGACTGGAAGCTTGTCACGACCTGCAGACCCCGCCCCCTTCCCCGACTCGTTAAAAAAAATGTTAATTGTTGCGTGCAGTCCAACGTGCCCGTCGCGAAAAAAAAGAGCAAATACGTGAAAACGTGGCGTTTTTTTCCCCTCGCGTACGGTGAGTACTCACCGCGCCTCTTGGTCTTCGGAGGATGAAGGTGGTGGTGCTGAGGATGAGGAGGAGGAGGAGGAAAAAGGAGGAGGCTGTTGCTGTGCTGGTGATGATGGTGCTGAGAGGAGCCCACGCCTACACACTGTCATCATGAGTCTCCCCCCTACCACCACCGCCCACACACGAACACGCATGCACACGCACGTACACGTTGTTGTGGAAAGTAATGAAATACAAATGCAGCTACTTCCGTAAGTTCTTCCGGTATCTGTTCTCAACATGAGCATTTTGTTTCTGACGGACTTTCAATGAAAGCAGAAGTCCAATTTTCTTTGCAACTATGTGTTCTAGAAACAGTATTTTGATTAATATTGCGTTCGTGGAAAAACGACGAAAAAGAAAAATAGAGCTTTTTCTGCCATTCAAGGAGAGAGATATTTTATGCTGCAGAGGCGCCTACTGTGGACCGAAATTGACGTCAACGTGTCCCTGGCCAAGCCCAGAAAGCAGGTGAGCCACGGACACGTGGACGTCGACTTTAGTCCACAGCAGGGGGCAGAGCAGCATAAAACGTCAACTTCTTTTTCCTGCGATTTTCGCGCAGATGAGCGGTAGAGGAAATCAATAGATGGGGACCTTCTTGACAAAGATACTTAACGTGGGGTTGGGATCTGTCGGTTGAAAAAAAAAAAACAAGATTCAATACTTACCTTTCATCGGATTGTTTTATATTGGAACGCTTATGTAAACTCCTGTATGTCGGCCATTTTGTCAAATTTGGGACTGCACGAGTAGCTAAAATTAGCAAACAATAGCACACGTTTTTAAAAAATACAATAATGGCACACAAATAGCAACGTCATTCAAAGGGGACGGGTTCCAAATTGAGATAATATTGAATAAGAAAAAGTTCAGTTTTCAGTACTTTGCTTTTACATGTGGCAAATGGGTCAGAACACTCAGAAAAATGGACATTTACAAATTACCCGTTGAATAGTGTACAACAAAAAAGTTTCAGACTCTAAAACTCTCCATTCATTATCCAAACCGCTGGTCAAAAAACAAAGTCCGCATTTTTTTTTTTTTTTTTGGTGGACATTGTCTTGTTTAATACGCAACAAAATAAAATTCGTCCACGAAGACTAACTGGGAATGGGCGAAGAACAAAAGCGGAATTATTTCCCGTGTCTTGGGCATCAACAAAGGCTGCTGAAAGCACTCACTGGCACCCTCTTGTGGCCGCTCTACTCTCAGCAAGTACAGTAAATGGCATGCATGGCTGACGAAATGTTTTTCACAATCAGCTGCAACCACGTCGGTCACCTCAAATTAATATCTTAAGATACTCTTTCTATACAGTACCTACGTTTCGGAATATTAATGGGATAAGTCGCCTAGATGGTGGCATTTCATATTTAATCCTATTTTGAATTGGTCAAAGAAATATTGGCTGCTATGAACGATTTACATTGTGATAACCGTTTCAGCTGTAAAACCCAGTCCTATTTTTCAATTTCATAGCGGGCATGTTTAACAGTTGAAACTGTATTATTTTGGATTTGAGTTTATTTTGGACTGGCTAAAACTCGTGGAGTTGTTTGCTTTCCGGGCACTTATGTTAATGTAGTACAAATGAATCCTAAATTAGAGTGAGTGATAAGTTTGGGTTTATTTTGGACTGAAATTCTCAAATGCAGAGGGAGTGTTCTGCCTTTTATGAGAAATGAACAAAAGGTATTTCTTTAAAAAGATCTGTCATTGGTTTCGTAGAAATTTTATGTATCAAAACTACCAGTGGTGTCGGCTACTTGGTATCGGGGGAACATCCCTAGTACTAAAGGTTTTCTTCAACAGCGGTCTTTCATCTGTACAGTGAGCCCCTAAAATACAAATCTATCAAAATAATCAAACCTTACAAACGTCACTTGATTTGTTTTCTTTACATTGTTACAATTGGAGAATTACGTGACGTCACACGGTCCATAAGGGAGTATATTGGACGGTGAGTATGATAAAAACATGGTGAACGGTAAGATGGGCGGAAGGCCTGAAGGCAAGAAAACGGTTAAAATACAATCCGTTGCTTGGTAAGTAAAAAAAAAAAAAAAAAAAAGGAGAATGCGAGAAAAAAAAAAAGAATCTGTGGAGTATTTCTAGGGCATGGGTGCTCTTAAGGGAACCCGAGGCGGTGCACCCGGAGGCCTGGGTGGCATGGGGGGTGCTCTCTGGTAGCCAAAGGGAGGAGGGCGAGGAGGGGCGGCGCCGTAGCCCGGTGGAGGCATGGGAGGGGGCAGAGGTCCTCTCATACCGGGCGGCACGGGGTGACCTGAAGGGAGGCAGGGAGGCAAAATGTGTGAAAAAAGATAATGGGAGCGAGGAAGCAGCTGTTTTTGGACGTACCCATGGGAGGTCCGTAGGGGGCTCGGGGCGGCATGCCCATGGGTGGGGGTGGGGGCATGCCTGGAGGCAGCGGCGCACGGGCTTGATTGGAGCCCGGGGGTGCAGGAGGCGGGGGCACCATGCCGGGAGGTGCCGGAGGGGGCATGGGCATCTGAGGCATACCTAAGGGAAGCAAACGGACAACAGGGGAGAAATGTCAATATTTTCCACATGAAATTAGTTAGTCATTCAAAACGTCATGAAAGAGGAATCCGTTGGAAATCACACTGAGTGACTTCAACATTATTGATGAATTTGTTTCTAACATTGTGGAGTGCTGAGAGAAGACTTCTCTTTTCACAACAGATAAAGACTTTCAGAGGGAGAGACAGAGAGGTGGAGAGATAGGGAGAGACAAACAGCGAGAGGTCGACAATGCAAAATGACACAGTGCCACCAAGAGAGAGGCCTGGCAGACAGAGAGGGAGAGAGAAAGGAGCCAGAGTAAGAGTGAGCCAGTCAAGAGAAAAAAAAAAAAAAAAAAGAGCACGACAGACTTTCAGAGGCAATGGCAGGAAGAGAGAGAAAAACTGGAAAAGTTGGGCGGATAAGAGGGACAGAATGAGACAATCAGAAAGACAACGAGGAAGGGTGAGAAACAAAGTCAAAGAGTCAGAAAGACACAAACAGAGGGAAGGCAAGAGAGACAGCCAGAGAAAGGGAGCAAGACAAAGACCGAGAGAGAGAGAGAGAGAGAGAGAGAAAAAAGGAAGAAGAATGAGAATGAAAAAGAGAGAGAGAGAGAGAGAGAGAGAGAGTGAGAGAGAGCACGCGAGGGACAAGACAGAGCAAGAGACAGAAAGAACAGAGTGACAGCAAGACAGAGAGACAGTCAAAGAGGGAGGGTAAGACTGAGGCGGGCAGTCCCAGCAGCAGAGTCCGTTGGAAAGAGCGAGAAAGAGAAGACGACAGAGAGCCAGAGCGAGCGACTATGGCATCTCCACGGAAACACACACCTCCATGCATGGAGCCAGGCGGGAAGGGCGGCGGCCCCGCAGGGTGGCCGCCCGGCTGCGCCTGATGGTTGTGATGCATGGCCATGCCGGGCGGCATGGTCGGCATGGCCCCCGGCGGCGGCATGGGGGGGAAGACGCCGGGAGGCGGCATTCCGCCCGGCATGCCCATGCCGGCGTGTCCCATGGAGGTCAGCACGGGCGGGGGCACAGCCTGCGGGGGAGGCGCGTCGGCAAACAGCTGGTGGGGCCGGTCGGCCTGCGAGAGCGGATTCTGGGCAGCCAGCAGCCGCTCGGCGGCCGAGCCGTGCCGCTCGCCTTTGGAGTCCTTCTTAAAGGCATAAGAGACAGTGATGGGCCGGTTGCACAGGTACTGGCCGTTCATGGCCTCAATGGCGGCGTCGGACGCGTCAAAGCTGGCAAAGTTGATGAAGGCGTAGCCTTTGGAGTTGCCCGTGTCAGGGTCCCGCATGATTTTGGGCGTCTGCAGGATGACCCCAAAGGCACTGAAGGTGTCGTACAGGAGCTTCTCATCGATCTCTGAGTCCAGGTTGCCAATGAAGATGTTGGCACCCACGTCCAGGTTCTTGTTGTGTGCCGACGCCTTGTTGACTCGGATGGGCTTGCCGTACAGCTTGATCATGTTCATGATTTTGATGGCGTAGTCGGCATCTTCTTCACTCAGGAACTCCACAAAGCCATATCCTTCAGTGAAGGAGGAGGAAAAATGAAAATAAAAAGATCATTTCAATTGTAAATTGCGAATAGGCAGGGGTTCATTGTAATTTCTCAATGCAACAACACATTTTCCTCCAATATCGGTGCATACCTTGATGTTGGCCCGTCACTCTGTCTTTGGGCATGTGCGTGTTGACGACTGGACCGGCCTGCAGGAAAAGCTCCCATAATAATGGCTCGGACACTTTCTCATCCAAGCCGCCCACGTACACCGTGGCATCTGGAAAATTCAGAAAAACATCAGTTCATATGGCAAACTCTGTATGTGCCTGTGTCATAAAAGACAAGTCACATGAATATTCATAACATACCTTAGCGAGTATACCTAAAAACGTCTAAAGATTATTGAGGAAAAAATACTAACAACATTGGTTTTACATGTTTATATATAAAATCAACGCAAGAGCAGAATTGTTCCTTTTCCATCGCCGTACTTCAGTCACAAGTATCCTTGTTAGCTAACTGGCCTGCTTGGCTAACCACATCATTGAGCACGTATCTAACTCATTTACGGCTAAAAAGGAGCACCCAAGCCAATTATAAATTCCGACACTTCTACAAATAGCACTAAGTTTCATTAGACAGCGCATCGATTAAAAGTGAAGAATTAGCGGAGTGTGGAGCTGACGACTTCGGCACATGCTTAATAGCGTTAGTACAGTCGCAAAAGAATCAACCGCAAACAGAGGAGGGCCGCACAATGTACAAAAAGAAGTTAAAAGAAGCCACGGCTAGAAACAAATATCTTAATTGCAGATAGACAGTAAACGCGCACTTAAATTACCTTGGTTTCGTTCGGAAATTGGTCCCGCTGCCATGTTGAATGAACAACGGTGGGCAACCGCTTGAAGAAGACCCCTCCCTTTCCGCTTACGTACACGGAAGTTTGTACGTCATGAAAAAAAATCTGACGTTCTCAATTTAAGATACAGGCTGCGTTGCGCCAAATGTAAAGAAACTTCATTGTGGAGTTTTGTATTTGTTGTCATTTCAAGCCTTACCTCTTTCAATACCGTATATCAATATCTAGATTTTGTTCCAGCAAATGAAAGCTTATGCTAATTTAAAAAATAGATGCATTAAAAAAAAAAAACATTAAAAACGCATTGTGCATGTTTGCACACTCTAAAACAGTTCCCAAATGTCTTCATAACATTTTTGGGACATGCTTTCATCAGAAGTAGCCCAAGGATCAAAAATGAAAAGCACACTATTGAACTAGCCTTGCAGGAATTAGCCCCTTTTGAGGGGCTGGCCCAGCCTGATCAAAGTGAGCCAGCCCTCATCTCGACCCATCGATAACAATGGCTGGGAAACGCACGAAAGTCAATTTGACATGACATTGAAAGAAGGTGAAACTTTGTGTGTGTAAACATGGATCATTGTGTATTTTATTATATATAAATCTACTAAATGTATAAACAGTGAATACAAAAACGGGCATATAAAATACACACCATGATGACCTTGAGAAATCCTTTACAAAATTACCAATACTGTTCGGTTAAAAGACATCACAGAAACATCATGCACCAAAGGCAGAAGATGCAGTGGATAGAGAAAGTCTAAACACCCCTTTGCAAATGTCAGGTTTTTGCGACATACAAAAAATAGTAAGGTAAATCGTTTCAAAACTTTGTGCGGTGTAAATGTGACCTGTACCTTTTGTAAAGGGAATAAAAATAAAGGCGTTGTGAGTGCACAAGTGTGCAGGCCTTTTTTATAATTGGGCACTTGGCTTATTTCTGAATGAATTAATCACAGGCAAACTCATGTTCAATAAGTCGGCACACACCTGTCACAATTTGAAGTGCCTCCGGGTAACCCCAAACACAGTTCTGATGTTCAAGTAGGCTTTCCGTGACATTTTTGCAGTCACATCACAGCACGAGCCATGATCTGCAGGGGTGTATGGACTTTTTATATGCACTGTCGCATCAAAGAACAGAAGCAGAAATAAAACAAGAAAGCAGACAGAAATGGCTGAAGTAACATATCTCCTGCTTACCTGGACATACTGTACCCCATATGAGAGATCATACGATCATCCAAGACTTAAAGTGAGAGGCAAGGCCGGGCGTATAAAGAGGAGGAGTATTTCAGCTGCCCAATAGAGTGAGCATGACATCACCCGAATGAATGGTCGAATGTTCACTCTTTCTGCACAAACTAAAATTACCGTAGGGAATCAAACATGCCTCAAGAGTGGTCAGGGGGACGATTCAATCCTTCCTAATCTAATGTTGTGTCTGTACCACATGAGGGAAATGACTTGAGCGCGCATGCTCCCAATTTGCAATTGGATTGACTTCCCAAGGCTGCCGACTTGAATTCCCTAATCATTTTGACACGGAGAAAACAGACGGTTCAAATTAGCCGGGAAATACTGTATGTCACATTTGTAGCATGAAATGCATCATGTCCCACTCGTACCACAGGCATCCTGAACAATGCGGTGAAAATGTACATTGCGATGGCATGGAAGTCATTCCAAGTCACAAGTAAGTACTGCTACACCTGAGCTGCTGTCAGAGCTACCGAAATAAAATAAAACAATCGCACAACGTAATTTGCATGCATAATACTGCCAACCTCCTTTCTGTGCTACACTTTTCCGTCATACTAAAAGGCTCCGCGTATTTTCGCATACTGTATTTCGGCAATTGGTGGGCATGTGATTTAGGGGAGGCATTTTGGGGGATAAAAGCAAACAATGTGAATTGCGGGTTTGCGTCTTCTGGAATGAGGGCGCGGACCAAAATGAAAATGTGGAGAAATAAGGCGAAATGACAATTAGGGTTGCGGGCGCCAGGCGGAGTTCCAATCAGTTTGCCTTGCCCTCGTACAGTCAAGCGTCGCCTCTTCCCAGCAATGGTTGTGCTTTTTCTGAAATGCCCCCAAGTGCCACCAGAGGGCACCAATGTCTAATGCTTCAGTGACACGTCCCGACTGAGAGGCTACTTCACACAGTACGTACTTGATTTTCGCAACACTACTTCTTTTTTAGCTTTAGTTTTCAACTCCACGTTCACTTGACATAAATTGAACTGTAACATTGTTTAAAATGATTCCAACGAATCTGACAGACAAATGCCTTGCCTTGCAAGAGATGTCTCCCCAACAATGTACATACATTCACCATTTAAAGGCAGCTGTATGAGACAAGACAAAATAATGTCAACTCCAGGCAGCTGGTTGGCCAACTGGACAAAAACAAACGATGTCAGGCACCAAAAGGTAACACGCTACGACTCAAGGCTTGTTCTGTGGCTGGATGCCATTTCGTAGTAATCCTCGGGCGGTGTTACCCGAGGACTCTTTTAGTGCGAGGGCAGCGTGGCGGCGTTGGCGGCGCTCAGTTGGCCCACGGCTAACATCAGGATGTCCTTCTTCTCCTTGTAGTAGCGCAACTCGCGGCCGGCCAGCCGAGCCTCCTCCAGCTCGCGCTCGGTGGCCGCGAGCTCCTGGGAGACGGTGCTGGCCACGCTCTGCTCGCGGTTCACCCAGTCGGCCGCCATCTGCGTCCGCATGTCGTCGTCCAGCGCCCGGTGCGAATAGTGGGCCAGCACTTCCTGTGACACAGACCACAATTCAAGTTCAATTCGGTTAAAAATTTTAGCCATTGCCAAGTATCTTTTTTTTAGGGGTGAAAAGCAGCGCATGCCAACTGTGGTGTGCCAACTTCATTATTATCAAGAATGACAATCGCTACGGTGTGCGGCTTCCTTTTAAGATCTTATACTGGAAATTGTTCAAAGATGCTTTTCATTTTCAGGTCTCTCATCTCGGTGACAATAACTTTGTTACCTGACGGGAACACTGGCGCTCCCTCATGGCTTTCAGGCTTCCGTTCCAGTGGAGGAGCTGGAAGACGGTCATCAGCTCCTGTATGATGAACACACACACACACACACACACACACACACACACACACACACACACACACACACACACACACACACACACACACACACACACACACACACACATGCATATATGTCTTTTGCCAGATGCAAATCTGCAAGGCCCCACCTCCAAGTCCCAACCTGTTTACGAGTCGCCGTTGGTCAGTGACGCACCTGAAATTCCAGCATTGATTTGCCTTTGTTGGATTCCAGCATGAAGCGGAACGCCCCGATTCCTGTATTGGGGTTGTCGGCCTCCTCTCTGTTTCCCTGTGGAAAACGCTATTATTGGGATGTACAGAAAAGCTAGCATACTTTGCATTTTGAAATACAACAAAAAGATTGCCAACAAACACATCCAGCCCAATCTCATCCCCAACATGGACGAGGTGCCGCTCCCTTTGGACATCCCGGTGAACCACGCTGTCGAGAAGAAGGGGGCCGGCACGTTAACGATAAACACAACGGGGCGCGGGAAGTCGGCTTTTACCGTTGTGCTCGATTGCCACGGCAATGGACAAAAACGGGCAAAGTGAAGTGGCAGCGGTGCGGGAGCCGCAGGCGAACACAGCTTTACTAAGACTGGGAGGCGGCGCCGGGCAAGTGACGCCACAATTTGTGAATGGAATGAAGACGCTAGGGCCAACGTGTCTACTCGCATTGTTGTTCGAGCTTACGCAGAAATCTCTGCAGCATTTGCGAGGGGCCGCACGTCAAAGGTGGCTGACTCTGCGAATGACGCGAGGGAACCTGGCGTGTTTGACGGTGACCATGTCCACCGCTTGACATCAGCAGCCGCCGACTTACATTGAAGGAAGCCAAGGCCTCGCCGACGCTCTTCTCGATGAAGTCGTTGGTGATGCGTCGCGACGGGTGCTCGTTAAAAACGGAATTCATGAGGGCGATCTTGGCGGCGCTGCGTCGGGCCTCCGCCTTGGTGGGGCAGAACTGTAAAAATAAATAAATACATTCATAAAACATCTCGAGGCGCGTTTGCTTCGGAAAGACGAGAGTCGAGCGAAGGCTCCGTTACCTGGAAACTTCCGAAGCAGCTGCCCCCCGGGAGGCTCACGTAGCAGACGTACGGCGGGCTGCTGGCCGCCACCATCTCGTACACCACGAGCGCTCCGTTGCGCAGGTCGGCGCCGCGGCTCAGCTTCATCTGCCAGAACTCCTGTAAGGCCTCCACCACGTTCACTACGTTCAACAACGACACAGCGGCGAGGAGAAGCTTCATGAGCACAGGTGCAAAGGCACTTGGGACAGAGTACAGATACTTGTGAAAGAAAATCAATCAACTGATTCGACTCCGTCAGTGAAGTTTAAAAGAAAGTACAGGATCTGAAATGAAACTCAAAAACAAATGACTGGGACTTTGGGGAATTTTTCGGGCGCTGAAGTAAATGACAGATACTTCAGAAATGTGCTCAGCAACAGTAACAGAATATTGCACTTGGTTCCTTCCCACCACTGTGAATCATGAGGGTGTGGAGCAGCGAGAGGCGCATCTCCAGATTAGCATAAAAGTATGCAAAAGTCAGCCAAAAAAAAAAAAAAAAAAAACCCGCAGTCGTAAAATGTTTTGGATGGGCCCAGCAGCACGATACGATAGCGGTGTCAAAAGTGACAAATGATGCCGTGGCGGCAGGGTGCCAACGTGGGCGGTCCGCTCCCCTTTGGATCCAGCGTCGAGCACTTGGCTGGATGACAGTGGAAGATTTGCACCGTCAACTGCGGACTTTTCCTGAGCCTGTAATGATGATCCATATCCCTGTTATTATAATCATGATTATTATTATTCAGTGTTTGAAGCACTATGTTTGATTCCAGTCACTGGACACTTTTTATGAAGTACACCTGCAGTGACGATGCAACGCAGTTATACGCAAAGTACAACCACGGCAAAGAACACTCAACTCAACTCAACTGAGCTGCTATTTCTACAGCACTTTCAAACAACCAGCGCTGTATGCAAAGCGCTGTACATGATTCATACAACAACAAACAACAAAACGATCCATTAATAACGAGGACACACAAAAACAGTCCAACTAAAAATCAAGCCTCAGGCTGAGTCAAAAGCCAAAGAATAAAAATGAGTTTGACGACGAGTTTTCAAGATGGAACGTTCAGCGGGAGGTCATTCCAAAGGGAGGAAGCGGGCCACGGAAAAGGCTCCATCCCCACGTAGCCGCCGCTTAGTTCTCGCTACCTCTCAAGGTGTCTGGTCCGCAGACCAAGGCCACTTCAAGATTTGAAAACAAAGAATAGAATCTTCAACAAACTCTAAAATGAGCCGGTGAAGGGACGCCAGAGTAGGAGTCACGCGCTCCCTTTTACGAGGCGAGCGGGAGCAGTCTGCAGACAACTGGAGATGCTTCATGGAGGATTGGCTGACTCCGAACACAATGTATAACATTTAAAAATATGGAATATAAACAAACTTAAAACTTGAATGAAACACTAAAACATGACATTCATAATAATGATCATGAAATTGTAACTATCATTTTTGATACGCTCACTGTTGTGTGTTGTTCAAAATGACTGTAGAAGCTTATCGATCTTTCATGTAATCCCTGTTTAAGCTTCAGCAGTTAATCCGATAATGAATTAGAACACATGTTACACTGACTTGGAAATAGACCTGAAATGAGCAAAATTGGAATGAAGCTCAAAAACAAAGTGCATTTTTATAAAGAATAAAGGTTTTCTTTCCAGGATAAAAGACCTACTTTTGTAAGAACTAAGAAGATTTCAACTTTGACTTTGATATAATGATACGACTTCATCCTGGAAAAAAATGTGACTTGGTTCTCTCTCTTTGATTTGTATATTTTCATATTTTTCCTGATATCAAACAAAATTAACAATCTTGCATAAAGTACCCGAGAGTGGGATTTCAGTCCAAGTGTCGAAACAGAAAATACATTTGGCAGAGCAAAAGGTCACACTGTAGAATATTAGTTGAGAAGTTTTAAAGGAATGGACATTTATCGATTAAATTGTCAAAAGTTATTCTCTAATCTTACATGTATTTGTCAGATGATTTTTTTCAAAGGAGTAGTTAGAATTTTCATTGTTATTTTGTGTAATTCTATTTGTATTTAGTTAGTTTATTTCAGTGGTATAGTTAAAGAGATGCGTGTTGGCAAATGAGCGAAACTTGCTTAGCCATCGCACGAACATTCTTTCTCAGATTTTAATTGTGAATAACAAAGATAGCAAGAAGAAATGTATCGAAATAAAAGTAAATTTTATTTTGGGAGCAGAGTGGCGTAGAAATGAAAATGGTGTATTTGTACTCCGTTACATTAAAAGACAAAATGGTATGCGGACTCCCTCTAGTGGTATGCGACTATATCACTGAATTAAATACAGACAGACGAATGCTACCAGACATGAGAATGCATGTAGTTTTAGCCTTTTTAAAGTTTTGTCTGGGTTTTTTTTTTTACTTTTCAAATAGAGCACAGCACATGTGAAGCAGCTATTCTTCACTTGTGTTAAACTTTTAAGTGCAGAACATGTAATCACGAAGAACTGTGTTTTCAAACCACGATTAATGTACAGTATATTCTTAATGTAACTTTCGTGGGGAATACATTTTAGTTTGTTCATTATTTAAGTGCAAATGTATTCTTGTTTTTTTTTTGGATGGTACTTGGTGTAAAAAAAGTTTGAGAACAAATTTAGGGGCACACGTAGTAATTTTCATTGGCGTTAGATTTTCTAGGGGAGCGGGGGTCTTTGGAATAATTTCTCCCTGGACCCCAGAAGTTGAGAGGTCCATAAAGTGTGTTAAAAAGGTCTCTTAAAGTGCTTACCTCGCCCGTAGCCCTGCGTGTGTTTGGCAAAACTGCGGACCACCGCCTCCACCGCCTCCTTCAACACCCCCGGGTTCCCGGGGTTAGAGTGGCCAGTGGCGGGGAGACCCAGGCCAACTCCTCCGCCGCCTCCGTACAGGCTGTGGAGCTGGAGCGGCGGCGGGGGCGGCGGAGGCCCCGAGCAGGCGGCCAGCGACGGCGGCGACGGCAACAGTGGAGGGATGGGCACCGTCACTCCGGGCCGGAGAGACGACGAGGCGGAGGAGGAGCGGAGCGTTCCACTGCCGCTCGGCCCCGAACCGAATCCGATCCCCGGCTGGAGCCGCTGAGGGCGGATATGGACCGGGAGAACGTGAGATTCCATAGTCCAAACGCGACGGTCGAATCGGGTCTGGGTGCAGTCGGTACCGACCGAGCAGACGTTCGGTTGTGGTTAAACGAAAAAAAAAAGATTAAACGGAATTTAACTGGGCTTTGTCCGCCAGGAAACCCGAACTGTACTTGACTGTTCTTCTGGTCTGCATCCTGCCTGCTTGGACTGCTCGTCCAGTTGCTTTCAGGGACGCCACGTAAAACCTACAACTACATCAAAAACAATTCACACGACCTTTTTTCATTCACATGTCTCACAATAAGACAACATATCACATATCGGTTACATTGTATACGCTATTATTTAAATTGCGTAACTTTCCAACGAATAAAACATTTAGTTTCCAGGTAAATATTGACTTTGCAGATTTTTGTACATGACTTGAAGGCAGCACTGGAAAGTCGGAAATATTAGGACAAGAAATCTGAGCCCACTCTTGTTCGTTCCAGTCTGGCCTACAAATGTGCCTCCCTCACCACAACTCTACACAATGCACCATGTTTTCATTTAACAGACTACCACAACGTGACAATGGAAAATGACGATCATGGCGGTCCACCTTTGAGACTCAAAGACCGTCAACTTTGTGATGGAAAAAGCAGGAGGAAATGGGGCCTGGCCCCCTGCATAACCCCCCCCCCCCCCATGTCTATAAATGTTTATTCTTTCTGTGGTCTGGTAGCACGCCAGAGGAGGAAAGATGGAACATTGTTTTAAAGAGATCCACATTGCGATAGAGATGATGTCAATGCACATTAGGTTTCATTACATCCTCCATTTTGCCTATGTTTTGGAAATTCTGTCTCACAACATGGAATTTGGTTAGGTCGGTCTTCATGAGTTGATGCCCCAAAATGTCTTCAGAACCCATGCCTGCAAACATGAACAAACTGCCACTTGGTTTGAAGCGGAACATTTTGGGTTAACTTTGGGGTCCATCGCAAGTGGACCTTCAAAGGCAAACTTAAAAGTTCAGCCCCGGAAGACAGTTGGACTGAGGAGGACAAAACTGAAGAGCAATCTTGATGGTGAGTAGATACACCAAAAAGTGATTCACAAAAAGACAGAGGGAGTGTAAAATTTGGATTCAAAGAGAATATTTTAGGTTCGTTTTGGGCACCTTGGCATATCATCATGTTTGTTAATAATGCAGCTTTTTGTCTTTTTAGGTAAATTTTGTTCACTTGTCAGTCTGAATGGGCAACAATAGATAAGTGATTTTCCAACTTAAAGCAACAACAACAAAAGCTGCATGGAAGCGCTGTCACAATCCAAGAGTAGTTTACATTTCATATTTAGAAACATGTCCCCTCCCCCCCCAAAAAAATCATATTCACCAGATATTTAGATTATTACATGTAGTCACGTGTGCAGATTGCTTCAGATGTGTTTTGCTATAGTTGAACAGTTTTGCTCTAGCCAAGCAATCAGAAGACAGAAAGACGCTGACACCAACAAAGCGAGCAGATATTTGAAGATACAAAGGACAGATGTTGGCAACAAAATCAGCTCAGCTCACTTCAGAGCAAGCAACAGTTTGGCAAGTGGTGAACAATTCTTCTTCTTAAAAAAAAAAAAAAAGGCTTCAAGATGTGTTTATTGCCGCTCTTGGTTAAGTTTGTCATCAAACTAAAGGTCAAAGGAAGAGAACTAGACATGCATTTTTCTGCTAGCTTCACGCTAACACGCAATGTAAAACTTTGAGCAACAATATTTGAACAAAAATGGTGCAGGAAGATGGACGGTATAATTACACTTGAAGGCATATCTTCTTTATCACCACTGCCCCGCTAAGATGACTCATATCACTGCAATTACCTGGGAATAAATTAGTCCAACTTATTGGAGCAAATACTGGAATTTAGGTTGAACAGGAGGGTCCGTTGAGGCCTCCACAAATGCTAATCATTGACCAAAAGAGTAGTAACATGTCCTGCAAAAGATTCATCAGGATGAAGATGACTGGTGGGTAACCAAGCAGTAACCCAATAAAAGAAGTCATCAACATAATAAGCTACTATTTCTCGCATACTACAGCTCACGTGATTCTGTGTCCACAAGCGTATTATTGTCCAGAATTTGAAGACAATAACAAAGCACCCAGGCCAGTGCTGGACACGATAAGACCCCCCCCCCCCCACCCAGTCCCGCCTAAAAAAAAAACCCCAACATGCTGCGCATTCCCGCAATTCTCAACATCTGGCTTTCATTAAACTTTTTTCTTTTTGCCAGAGGTTTTGTTTATGAGCACATGTGGTCTCCTGGCGTTGGAAAAAAAAAAAAATCAATAGCAAAAGCTGGCCAGGAGTGCGATCCGGCAAATTAATGACTTTTTACAAGGAGCCATAAAGATAGAGAGCAAATAGGACACCTGGCAAGCAAAGGTGGAAGGTTTACGTCCACATCCTCGTCTTGTTGGAGCAATTTCATATCACGCCGCATTAGAATTAAGCAAGGAAGGCCATAGAAAACAAACTTTGTGACGACTACTGGTCTCATTTGTAAATGTTGTACGACACTAAGAACTTATTCAATGGCGGCCATTTTGCAACCCTCTCTCCCACGTGAGAAAAACATAAAAGATATAAAAATACGCACCTGGCAATGATGGTCTGGAGTCTTAAACTAAGAACCATTGAAAGGCATTCTCAAATAAAACGGGATTTAGCGTTTTTACGTGATCATCATTGCCATCGCACGGTAGCAGTATATTTACAGGAGCAGATTTTATCGAGCACTTGTGAGAGGAATAATCACTTGTTTTCAAATGAATGATAACGCCACCGTGCATCAATATGAGAAAACTTGTCAGAATTCACATTTTCAAAATGCTTTCACTCAAGCCCTCATGACAGCTGAAATGGCCCAAATGAAGAAAAAAAAATCTGAAGTCAGCGATGAGGAAATGATGCAAGGTGTTTGTTTGCAAGCTGATGTGGCAGGACGAAACGTACTGGCCTCTGCGTCATCGTTCACCGACAAGTCATCAAGTGTTTGGTTCAGTCAGCACGATAACACAACTCCAAACCCTCCCACACGTGTGTGCACGCGCACTCGTGCACACACACACACACACACACACACACACACACATGCAAACATGCAGACATACACACCGTTGGACTTTGGCTCTCTTTGGCCAACTGGCACTCAGAGCAACAAGGGTCACAACAATGTTTTGTCAGCACCGCAAAGCATCCAATGGCATTTGGATGTCCATCATCTTGTCCAATCGCAATCAGGAGCACGCAGCGCTGCCCCCCCACCCGACCGAGGGGCTATAAGAAGGGTTCCAAGCCGGCAAGTAGCCACCATCAACCGGTCCAGATCTTCCTGTGCTACAGGTGCGCTTCATTCTGCTCGTCATCCAGATTGATCTCATTGGTCGGCGAGTATTCTCACACTATGATTCTGATGGGTTATTCTCTTGTGGTAAATTCTTCAAAAGGACGCATGTGAAAAGAAGGCGGCCAAAAATTGCGCAGATGATCATATGAATGTAAATCTCACGAGAGTTGTTGTGATGATTAAGACTTGTGTCAATCCAAATGTTAAAACAGGACCAGAAATCTCACCAAACCCGCGCAGGTTAAAATAAGAGGACTACGAATCCCAGCGGGGTTGCATTGGCTTGACCAAAAACCAATTTGTTTGTTCCCAGACCTCACCCAATCTGCAACCATGAAAGTCATCATCGCCGCCTTTGTTGTGATCGCACTGGCTCAAGGTAGTTTCACCCGAACATCGCTAGCATCTTTTGACGAAGCAAAAAAAAAAAAAAAAAAAAAAAAAGGCACCCACTAAAATGCGCTGGCTTACGCAGGGAGCCTCGCCGTGGACGCCACCGAGATGGAAATGATCGGCCAGAAATTCGAGGAGATCAAGAACAAAATGACGGAAGAGCTGAGCAAGATGATCAACACTCAGGAGCTGGGCAGCCAGGCTCAGTGAGTACAAACGAAACGCAGGTGGCCCGTCCCTCGGGGCGGGAGGCGCTGACCTCCTCCGTGCGTGTCGCAGGGCCTTCCTGGAGCAGCAGAGGAACCAGTTTGAGCCCATGATGACCAAGGTCCAGGAGCAGATGAAGGCGGCTGCCGCCAGCATGCAGGAGCAGCTGGAGCCCATGACCACCAACTTCCAGGCACAGATGCAGCCCATGGTGCTGAAGTTCCAGGAGCAGATGGAGGCCATCCTCAGGCAGTTGACTGAGCAGGCCAAGGCCATGACCAACTAAAGCTTCCGCCATCATGGACTGACTTCCTTCTGGACTCCGGACGTCTTTCTGTACCTTTTGTGAAAGGGAGGACTTGGTCCCCAAAACAAACTAAGGAAGTGCAATAAAAGCTTCAAACACAGCCGCGTGGCCCCTTTTCCTCACCGAGTCGTTGACTCGACGCAGTGTCAATTGAGGTGGGGGGAGGGGGGGTGGGGAGGCTTTTAGACACTCAAAACATGTTAGGGTTTTTTCAACAACAAAACCTACACAAGGACAACGTGTTAACTGCTCAAACCATTTCAATGCTGTTGGAAAAAAAAAAGCCTCCCACAAATAGAGGACTTCTTTCATCTCTCAAACAGTACATGTACATTTTTGGCTTCAAAAATACACGGGGGGGGGGAGGGGGAATCAGCGGGTGCATCGCCCACTTGAACAAATAGGCTAAATGACTCCCGTCAAATAAATGCCTCTCATTGCTATCAAGAAAAACATACAAGTAGTTGAATATGTAGATTTTTTTTTTGTCCATTAATACAAAAACGATGCTCGGTTAAAATTAAATAAAGATTGGCACAGGGTGCAATCGTTCACACCAGTAAACGTGAAGAAAAATAAACACCTCCCTCAAATAGACTCCTCCCTTTTTTTTGCCCAAAGAAAAATTGAATGTGACGTAGATTTGTGGGAGTCTTTTCGCGGGTAAAAACCTCTGCGCAGGGGGGCTTGGCCATTTCAACACGTCACCAATTCAAACAAATAAAAAAAGGGCCCACAAACAGTGCGAGAACGTTTAGTCAATAAGCACATCGAGAAAAAAAAAAAAAAAGGCTTGACTTATCAAAGCTCAAACATTTCAAATGGGTACAAATACATATAAAATGGCACAAAAGACTCACTTTAAAACTCCATAGAAAAATATTTCTGTCATTTAATTTGGCGAATGACATTTATGGTCATTTTCATTTTCTTTTGATTTCATATTTTATGCTTTGCTCGCTCGTGTGCTTCCCCCCCCCTCTGATTTTTGTTGTTGTTTTGTATATTCTGTTGTTGATGATTCCGATTTGTCCTCATCAGCTCACGATGTTTTCTATCGACTTGGATGTGTTCGACTTGGCTCCTTCACGGCCATCGGTTGCATCATACCTTGACGACGCTCTCATTCTGATGAGAAAAAAAAATCACAAAATGCATCCCAGAAAAAAAAAGAAGAAAAAAACCCTTCCACGCTCGATCCTTTAACACCATGCGTGCGTCTTTCCTACAAAGGCTGCCTTGTAGACGGCGGGCGCCCTACCTCGGGTTTGATGGGTGGAGCTTCAGTAAGCCTTTTGGGACGACTCCTTGGCCTGATGAGCCTGAAGGACGGCCACGGCCTCGTCCACCTGCAAGGACCAACAAGCCATTGATCTCCTCGGGTGTTTCAACCCCCATACGAGCCCCTTAACTGATTCTCGCGTCCTTTTGCTTACTCAACAGCAGTGCTTAACTGAAACCCCGCCTCTCGCTCGGCCTTCTCTCTGTAGCAACCTGCTTCTTCCTTGACTGTTTTCTACCTTTTTATGGTTGCGCCAACTCAACTGAACCCACTGGAGACGCTTCACGGAGGATTGGCATGACAGTCAAGTGCGTGACGGTCATCCACCGGGCGATGTGACGAAGGCACGAAGGGCCGTATTCTCACAGTGCTCACCGGAGAAGGGAGAGGCTTGACTCGAGCCAGCAATTTGCCGGTCCAATTTCAACTCAGGGTCCAGTTGAAAACCCACATTCGAGACGATAAAGGTGATAGAGTACAATTTGTTGCATGTGAAGCCTCAAAAGACGATACAAGCTCATCGTTTAAAGTCGTACGTAAAATGAACATGGCCAACTGCCATTTTTGTATTGTATTTTTTTTTAGATGGTCCAGTACAAGTCGGTTTTGGCCGCATGACACGGTTGCGGACCGTGCTTAAGAGTGGCTCACCTTGGACGTGAGCGACTCCGGGGACTCCAGCATGTGGAGCAGCTCCGAGTTGTCGATCTCCAGTAACATGCCTGTGATCTTCCCCGCCAGGTCTTGATGCATGCTCTGGATGAGCGGGAACAAACACTCACCTGGAAGGGAAAGAGAGGATGTTGATTTGGAAAGCAGGCGATAGACCAGATGGGCAAACGGTGGAAAAAAAATCACATTCATCTTCCGAGGACCCCCGAGAAGCGGACCTCATCAAAAGCAGGCCGCATCAAAACACAAGGACCGACTCCGCGGGAGTTTACGGGCGTGGCTTCTCCAGAACGTTATTCCTCGCTCGACTCACGATGGAAATGGCGGCTAAGAAATTTCACATCGGTAAGTGACTTCGGGGGTACCTGTCAGTTTGTCTTTGAAGGACCAAGAAAGGAAAACCAAAAGAACCTCAAATGGTTGCGTGAGAAGAAAATGACAAAACTTTCCGTTTATAGACGCGACTATGAAATGTCATTTTCTGAGGTGAAACCGTCTCCGGGGGGCAACTTTTCCCAAAACGTACAGCGGGTAGAAGCAGTGCGCAGACTTGACTGTGCGGGCTTACCCAACATCTGCTTTTGCTCCAGTGGGGGAGCGGAAGCCAACACGGAGGCTGTTAGGGGCTTCGGAGTGTGGCCGGCAGGCTGAGGAGGGAAAAAGAAGCAGGAAATGAACGGGCGGCAAATATAGATGTGTGGACACCACACGACAAACATGATCTCCTTCAGGGGGTGTCAAAGTCATTGTGGCCACAGGCTACATCCTAGTGAAGGAGTCCCACAGAGCATCGTTGCACGCCCCCGCCCTTTCTTGTTGTATACGGCCTATGTTTCGACAAATACGATGCCAAGGGAAGCGGTGGCGTGAAAATATTTGAGGGTACAACTATTATCCTCTTTCTATTCAGGGATTTGGGTGAAAGTGTGAAAAGTGAACCGCAACTCAACTCTACTCAACTCAAGGGTGTATTTCTTGAGCACTTTCAAAGCACCACGGCTGTCGACAAAGTGCTGGACGAGGAACCGTTTTTGGGGGCCAAATTTGGAAGTCTTTATTGGGTCTTGGTCTTGACACTCGTGGTCCAGTTGTGTTTCAAGGTCGTATTTTACCTGTGTATGCGGCATGGGGTTCAAAGGGCTGCGGATTGCCGCCCCGTACTTGTATTGAGGAACCGCGCAGACGGGGGAGAGCGGGGACTCGGCTCGGGGGCTCAGACTCTGGGACGCTGCAAGGACAGAGATTTTGAACCAGGTGGGACTTTTCGGACCGTGCAATGAATGAGGACTGACCGGCGCGCCGGGCGGAGAGCCCACGGGGTCCCTGGGAGGCGAGGCGCCTCGAAGCCAAATCGGGAGGGCTCGGCGCCGAGGTCCGCACGGAGGCGGCCGGGTTCTGGTAGTCTAGGCAAGAACGTGTTGCAGTGTGAAACGCGAAACATGAATGGGAGCGACTCAGCAAGTGTGACTGGCGGACGAAGCACAAGAGAGGTCGTCGAGTCTTTTTATTGGCCGCTAACCGGGAAGCGGACCGTTGTGGCCCCTCCCGGGTGAGCCGCTGGAGTCACATGACTTTACTCCAAATGGCTTGGTTTAAATTTCGGAAAGACTGAAAAACTTGGTGGCCGTGAGCCCGACTTGAGTTTTTTTTGAAGTGAATGTCAAACTGTATGAGCTTGTGGTAAGCGGGTACCTGCCGTGGCCCAGCGAGGGTTCGGACACAGCTGCGCCACCTGGGCAGCTGGCGCAAAGTAAGCGGCGTTACGGTTCTGCGCCTGAGGAATGGGAGCTATGAAGTAAGCCGGGGGCGGCGCCGCCTGGTAAGGGTTGACGACCTGGTTGGGCACGGGCCGAGCGTTGGTCATGCGTTGGATGTACTGGCGCGTCAGGTAGGCCTGCCGCTCCTCCTTCCTTTGGGCCAGCGCCACGTACAGCGGCTTGGTGGCCACGATGTGGCCGTTCATCTCCGCCACCGCCTTGCCCGCCTCCTCCGGGGACGAGAAGCAGACGAAGCCGAAGCCTTTGCTGCGCCCGCCCTGCGTCATCACCTGGACACATCGCAGCCCGGTCGGCAACCGGGCGACGCGCCAAAAATGGCCGCGGACGTACCTTGGCGCTGGTTATGATGCCGAAGGGCTCAAATTCTTTCCGCAAGCACTCGTCATCAATGCTGTCGTCGAGGTTCTTCACGTACAAGTTGACACCCTGCAGGGCAAAATCGGACGCCGTCACGCCACACGGTGAGCCGTTCATCGGATCGCGTTGACGACGTTAGCATCTAAGGCCAACGACGCGAGCATTTGGGATTTTATCCCCTCTGTATTTCTGAAGAGTCGTGAAACTGGACAACCCGGAGGGCAAAATCGGACGCGCTCACCGTTTGCTTGGTTGAAAACTGACCTGGTAACGCGAGATGCGATCTTGCTTCATCTGCTCAAACTTGCGCTTCAACTCGGCCTGCCGCTCCACCTTCTTTTGGGCGCGGCTGACGTAGATATTCCTGCCGTGGAATTCCTTCCCGTTCATTTCATCGACTGCCTAGGGAAGCGAAAGGTGGCCATCAAATGGACACAAGACCCACGCGGGGGGTGACGACCTCGAGTATTTGCGAGAAAAAGCAAAAAAATTAATCGTCAATCGAGCGTATGCGACCGGTGCCCGCCGTTTTGTTTTACCTTCTGGGCATCCTCGTGCCTGGCGAAGCTGACAAAGCCGAAGCCTCGACACGAGCCGTGCTCGTCCATCATCACGCGGGCACTGGTGGTGTTTCCTAGGGCGCCACAGGGAGAGTCCGGTATCGAGTCGAGGCCTTGGCGACGCCGTGGCCGGCACATGACTGACCGTATGTCCTGAAGATGTCCCTCAGCGTGTCGTCGTCCACGTCGTCGCCAAAGTTCTTCACGTAGACGTTGGTAAACTCCTTGGCTCGGACCGCCAGCTCGGCCTCGCGCTCTTTGCGGGATTTGAAGTGACCCACAAATCTGTTTTGATGGAATTCAACGTGGATAAGATGGACAAAACGTCCAGAAAAAACTGGGCGCCCTCCTCTCACAACACTGCCCCTGACTAGCCCCGAATAAAGTGAAGCTTTTCTGCCGCAAGGTCCGAAATCTGTGTTTTTGAGACACCTCGCCTGAGAAGGCGTGTGAATTTTAAACGCATAGCGCTAACGTCGTTTCACGATGAAACACGGGGGGCTTAAAATTGCGAGGTTGGAAGCTACGCCGGCTCGAAAAACAGGGCAGAACACAATGGCGGCCGAAAAGGGACACGTTGAATTGTTGGTCAGTCAAAGAACGTACATTTTTCGCTCTTTGATAAGCTTGCCGTTCATCTCCGCGATGGCTCTCTCGGCCGCCTCCTGAGTCTCAAAGTGCACAAAGCCGTAGCCTTTGGAGCCGTTCTCGTCGCACACCACCTACGGCAGAATGGAAGTAGTCAGCAACACCGCTGCACTTCCGGTGCCAAGTGGCCACCGGGGAAAATTGAGCTTTCCATGTTAGGAGAAGGAAGAAGGAAGAAAAAGGGTTGGAAGCGCCAGTGGGGCGTTCATATGTTCAATGTGTGCCTTTAAAGGGCGTGGCCAAGTGAGTGCCATCGGAAGCTGCGGAGACATTCCTTGCAGTCGCTCTCGTTTGTCACAGTAAGAAATCAAAAGTGCCGCTGGCGACTTGGTGAGAGATTGCGCCGTACCTTGCCGGACAAGATGTTGCCGAAGAAGGAGAAAATGTCGTACAGGACATTGTTGTCGATGGAGCGGTCCAAGTTCTTGATGAAGACGTTGCCCACGCCGCTCTTCCTCAGCGAAGGGTCCCGCTGCCACCACATGATGCGCATGGGCTGACCCTTGATCAGGTCGAAGTTCATCGTGTCCAGCGCGTGTTCGGCTGCGGGAGAAAAAAAAATAAAGGGGTCTACAGGAAAAATGCAGGGGGACCACGCTGTTCTTCATTCATTCATTTTCCAGTCATTGAACTTGTGCTTGGATCGTGACTTTTTGGGCGTACGGCTCTATCGGTCAAACGCCACACCGGAAGCCCGGGGCGAGACTCAAACCCAGAACCCGTAGACTGTGAAGCACACATGCCGACCGCGTCGCTAAATCAGCAGGGAGGGATGAGGTTTGTGTTCTTAGGTGATTATTCTGATCTGATTTACCGTCTGCAAGCTGCTGGAAGTTGACACACGCGTATCCCAGCGAGCGCCCGGTCATCATGTCTCGACACACGCGGATGGACAAAATGATCCCTACTCGGCTCAGTCGTTCATAAAGGATGGCTTCCGTCACGTCCGCGTGCAAATCGCCAACGTACAGCGCGGCCATGGTTGGCCACCGACAAAAACGGATTTTTTTTTAGGGGCTGGGAGTGAAAACGTTTCCGTTTTCCACCAAGCACGGCTCCAGGGTTTTGAGAAAAGAATTCATCAATATCTCCTCAAATATATCAAATCAAATGCTGGAGGGGCAGGGATTTCCGATGGGGCTCGAGCACCCCTGACCTCCGAGCTAGCGCCGTCCCTGTTTCCCACAGGGTTAAAGTATGGGACCCGGGCGCGAATTTGCGGTGCCAGATGAAAGCGCCGACCGGCGTTTGTATATTTTGGATTTCGTGACTCCCAGTTGTCAAGAGTCGCCCGGACCATGTGACCGACGCTCGTCTCAATCGTCACATAAATTAAAAAATCACCTCACCGTGGATTGAGGCAGCCGGCGCTTTATTACAACGTGAAAAAGTAACACAGAGCGATGTGCGTGACAGCGGCCCGGGCGTCATCCGACGTCGTCTTTTGCGTTCGTCGAACTTTTCTGACGAATTGACGGGACGGAGCTGGTAACAGTGATCACACAATATTCGGGACGCGCGCGAATGTGGAGCAATCTGCGTTGACGAAGGGAATACAGTGCACACACACACACACAGACACAGGTATATCTATTTTTTGTTTGCTATGTTTAATACAACGTGAATATGGTCCTTGGCACACGCCCTTTTTTCTTTTAAATATACTGCCATTAAGTCATCAGCACAGTATTCTGATTAAATTACTTATGTGTTCATTTCATACAGTATAAAAAAAAAGAGCATGCCTCACAACTTGTTAAACAGCTTCAAAGTGTTAACAGCAGCTGGAGCAGGTCGATTAGAGCTCTTTTTGAAGGCCATGCCAGAGGACAAAAGTGAAGCAGACTGGGAGAAAGCCTCATATTCAGTCCTGAAATTCGGAACAGACAATACAGTATAAGCATTTGAAATCCGAGACTATATTTGCTATGGTTTAACCCGGATACATTCCTAGCACAGCCACTAACAGTTCTTTGACAATCTCAGAGCTGGTTTAAATCGGATACATTCCTAGCACAGCCCTGCAGATGAAAATATGCATCCGGATGCCAAGTTGTCAGACAGCCTTTGAATTTAATAATCTGTGAATGTGTAAAAAACATGTATGCTGTGATGTACAGTCATATCGCACCCAGGCAATGTCTAGGTGCATTTAGGGAGAATTAAAAAAATCATTTAAGTTCATTTGTAGAGCCTTTATTCACAAAGGAATCACAAAGGGCTTCACAGGCCCAACAGTTGAAAAGACTGGCAACATCCTGTATCTAATGTAATCTAATATCTGTCTTGTGTTTAATGGAATCTCACTTAAACAATGTCGGTGCCTCCTAAAATGCTCAAAAGAAGCCGGCGTAGGGACCAGACCAATTTTGATACATGTGTTAATCACCCTTTTGCCAGTTACTTCTGTTCCGAAACAGCTAAGAATTTATTATTCATACTTGAACTTTAGCGACACACCGTGGCTTTATGGTGGAACGACGTTCGATTCACTCCCATTTTTGTTAGCATTTTAAAACATCGCTTCGAAAATACCTAATCAAAACTTTACTTTATCTTGCTACGTGCAAACATTCACACAAAAGATAAAGCATACAAATTCTAAATAAGGTAGTGATTTTTATCCTTTTAAAAATTCTAGCTCTGGGCAGGAAACTGACCATCGGAGGACAATGTTGTGGCACAAAATGGCGTCCCGAGGAACGTAAGTCATAAAGCGAGGTGCCAAACATACGGCCGGCGGGCCGGAACCGGCCCCCCAAGGAGATTCGATCAGGCCCGCTGGATCATTTAAAAGTGAAAAAATGCATAAGACAGGGAATGAATATTTTTAATAAGGTGCAATTCATGGGATATCCGCTAGGGGACACAGTTTTGATCACAGTAGACAACAGCAGCCTCAGTCTGTCATTGAGACAGACCCAACAGAGCAGACGCTATCAGGCGCTATGTAGGCAGGGATTAAATTTAGATTTTAGATGCACATGAGTAAATGGTTTAAAAATTCCTCTCTTTATAAATACTGTTTAATCTTGAAGTGCATTGTTATATTTTTCAATACCAATTGTTTAAGTGCCTTTATACAATCAGTGGGATCAGTTGCAATGCATCTATGTGAATGATAAAAGTCAATTGCACATTTGTCTAAGGAAATCTAAGGTGCTTCATGAAATGTTTTGTAAAAGATATGTTCAGAAAATTTCAACTTTTTCCTCATGTTCTTGTGCTTCTTTGGACCAAAACGAAGGAAAGACATTATTTTGGTTATTTATAGCAGAGTATGGTATAATTTTAATGGTCCGGCCCACTGGACATCTACCGAGGCCATATGTGGCCCACAATGTGAAATGAGTTTGACACCCCTGTCATAAAGCCAGAACTACAGGGAAGTGTTTGACTGCAATACACTTCGAGCCCCAAAATATCCGACAAAAAAAAAACGGTACTTAATGTGCTGTGGTCAGCCCTTCGGACGCTTTTGACGCCGTATGCTCGGGCCGTTTATAACAGAGTACTGCATATCATCATTGTCGCATCTTTTAGTCATGAATCAGTTTTCATTTGAAAACTTGAGCAGAGTAAGAGTGTAACAGAACAATGTCATTGCCACATATGTTCATGTTTAAATGAAATGGAATCATATTGTTATGTACGTACATTTTGCCAAGATTTTCCACAAAGTTGAATGCATGCAAACATTAAGGTTTTTTTTTTTTCCTTACTTGAATTCATACAAACTTTTTCTTTCTGCGGTATCCGACGGTTTCGGTGTGCCTGCCTCTGAAAGTCAGCTAAGGTGAACTCCAGCTCACCAGTGACTCCTAGCAGGGACAAAGACTTGGGGGGGAATTGGAGATCATGTAAACACAAAAGATGCAGAACACGCGTGAAGCACGACATAATTGGATTTAATGTTTTAATTGGTCTCACATGAAAGCACATAACCAAATAACCTACTTAAAGAGTGCCACCTGCAACATGTTTCAATTCCTGCATCCCATCTTATTTCATCCAATTTTTTTGTTTGACCCACCATGATTAGAAGAAACCAGCACTAATTTGTGTCTGTCTACTCAATGGTCCAAAAACGCTGCTTCTTACGGAGTTACTTTGCGAATCAGCATCACCTTTGACTTCTGAAAAAAGACTGTGCAGATGCTTCACCTGGTTCAGGTTAAATCCTAAGCGAAATCCAAATAAAAACAAAAAAAAACAAGTGCCAGTTTCAAAGCACACCGACCTCTCATATCATACTACGAGAAACGCATACATTCCTGGGGTAAAAGGGGGAATAAAATACACACAAAAAAGGTCATACAAAATAAACACCTGAATAGAAAAAGTAGCAAAACAAAGTTACAGTATCAGGCCGTTTTTTTTTTGTTTTAATCAAGTTGTTCACTTTTACGCAAAGTATGCAGGATATGAACTGAAGACAAGTCAGCGTGATGAAACTCAATCATCGCAGCCCAAAAAAAACAACCCCAAAAAGATGGACCAAATAACTAAAAGAAAAAGTCCATTCACACCAAGAACCGTAGCAAGTTTGCTGTCGAAGCGCACCGAGAACCCACCGAGCTATTGTGACGCATGTACCATCCGTAAAACATAACAGCCGGGTCACGGGAAAATGGCAAACGTTCACCACAGTCTAACCACTAACTTTGTCAGATGAAACCTGGATCAATTTTTTGTGTGTGTGTAAACTGGACAAGAATCAGACAACGGTGACGATTTTGATTCAGTAGACGCGTTTCAAGGTGTTATTGTGGACCCAAGTGTCACAACAGTTCAAGTAAAAACACACAAAGTTTCAAAATAAAGTTTGAGGTTTGATTTTTGTCCTGTAACAGTGGCAGCTTACGACCACAAACGACGGTCTAATTTCGGAAAAAAAAATACAATGGGACTAAACTATATCAGAAAAAAATTTACCATCCATTTTTTGACACATTGAGTAATGTTCGATTCATTTTTTTTTTTTAAATCAGTGGAGGTGTTCTTCCAATGAACGAACATACTGTACTTTACACACTGAGTAGAGCGTAAACATACATATGCACATGTATGAGCACATGCACAACCACGCAGACAACTTAGGCTGGTGAGAGGTAATTAAAAAAAAAAAAAGGGGGGGGGATTTTTCTTCTTTTTTTCCCCATCTTGCAGAGGACTTCAGTTCTTGTCAGCCTCGGCCGGTGCCTCCGTCTCATCACCTTCTGCCTGGGCGTCGGACATCCACAGCTGCCATGAAAGGGGGGGGAAACAGGTCAAATTAGTGCTGGATCAGGGTCAAAGGGAGCAGCAGCGCATGCCAGACAACCGGCGAAATGGGACTGCTCCCAGCCACTCCCTCAAGTCTTATGACTCGACGGGTATGCTGCTGAGCAATGACATGCAGTCATGACTCGTCTACAGATGCTACTGCCTGACATGAGTTGGTCCTCATGCGCGACGACTCATTAAAAAAACAAAACAGGTAAGAATCTTTTTCCTGACACACACCCCCTCCACTCATCACATCAGCATCTTACAAACAGGTTTGAAAGTCAAGACCTGAGGCCAAGATCCCGTACGCCTCCATTATATGTGACCCACAGGAGCAAATGTTGTGCATCAACTTGCACGATTCTTGCTAAAATCTTGGCCAAAATTTCTAAAATGTCCTATGTAGAAATGAGAGATTGTATGCGATCTTTGTGACAAGCTCTTTTTTTACGGTGACTTGCACCACAGTTGAACAAACTATTTTTCTTGACGCCCAATTTTTTTTTCAATTGTGGATATGTAATAAGATGAGATTCAACATTTGTATGGCCTCACAGTGATAATGTCCGAGAAGCTTTAATTATACCATGACACTGCTGATTACAACATAAGACATTTCAAGTAAATAGGATATTAATTGGTTATTTGAACTCACAGTCAGATTGTCGCGGAGCAGCTGCATGATCAAGGTACTGTCTTTGTACGATTCGCTGTTCAGCGAGTCCAGCATGGAGATGGCGTCGTCAAAGGCCTGGAAAGCAAATCAGCCGGCGTGTTTACAGAGGACCCTTCATGAAAAAAGCCAACATCAAAACCCAAAATGCCAAGCGCGCATCACCCAACACAAAAGAGGGAGATTCTTACTTTTTTGGCCAGGTTGCAGGCCTCGGTGGGTGAGTTGACAATCTCGTAGTAGAAGACGGAGAAGTTGAGTGCCAGGCCCAGGCGGATGGGATGAGTGGGCTGCATGTCGCTGTAGCTGATGTCCAAGGCCGCCTGGTACGAATCTTTTGAGCTTGTGATGATTTCTGTCAGCAGAGTGCGGGGCAAGCACTAAATTGAAAGCATCACAAATGGCCCGCTCTAGGTCGGGAAAGCCATTTCACCAGCTAGTCCATCTCTCGCTCCAAATAATGCGATGCTCTTGGCCTTACGAGCAACAACAACATGACGGGTGAAGGGGGGGGGGGGGTGCAGTTGACACCAGTATACTAATAGTGCTACTAGTGAAGCGCTGGGTATTTGAATTTTTAGCGTCACGAGTAGGGCCGCTTATGTCGGCGTTTTCACTGTATTGACGATCAAACAACGGATCTCATCTTATTTTCTGACGAAGCAGTAGATGTTCTTCAGTAAAAGGACACGCATGGCTAAAATGTAGCCATTAAGACACCCCGTGCAAAAGCGTGCGCGCAAACGACACGACCGTAGTCATACAACCGGACATTGAGCAGGTGAGGCCAATTTTCATGATAGAGCACACACGTAAGGGTACCAAATATGTGCCGACGCAGCTTTGTGGCAAGCCGAGGAAGCATTTATTTGAATTGTTTTCGGAGGAAGGGCAAAGCGTACTAATACGGAGTCCTTAAACTGAATGTCAAAGGTGATGGAGCTAATGTTCAAACGTCAAGATGCCCGGGCAAGTTTGGGTGCCCCGCCCTCCCCGTTGGTCGCTCGGCTCGGGCTGTTGTACTCACTCTCCTTCTCATCTCCGGTGGCAACCTCCGCCAGGTAGCGATAGTAGTCGCCCTTCATCTTAAGGTAGAAGACCTTACTGTCGGCAGCAGTTGCTTTGGGAATCAGGTGCTTTTCGAGCAGACCCTGCGAGACAGAAGAGCGTTTGGGTGCCAGTTAACACCTAGTGCGGCTTATGAGCTGGGGTTTTTTTTTTTTGTTTTTGTCGAAGGGGGAACTTTTGCGTAACCATGCAAGTTAAAATAACCAGTTGAAATAGACACGGTGCAACGCGGACACGCAGCTATTTAGTGCAGTCCCATTTTATGCAAATCCCTAATCCTGATAGGTCCACAACTAGGACTGCTTGGGTGGCTCACAGGCTTTCCTTAAGTAAGAAAATACTGCGTCATTCTCATTCGATTCCTCGACTCCGGTACAAGTAAAAAGCACAGCCTCGAGAATGTACTTGCGCACAAAACTAAACTGCACGTTTACTGCTCATGATCTTAAGTACCCCTTCTGATAACTTGCTTCAATGTGATTAAAAAATAAATAATCCCAAAATAAATACTCACTGGACAGGCAAGTAAAACGTGCACATAGATTTGCCAACATTGTGAACTGACTAATAAATGCTAAATTAGCCAAGTCCTTCCTCTATATCACTTCCAGAATTTTTTGGGGGGTGGCTCCGACAACGCAATCGCCACAAATTATTCCCAAGAGCCGTCAACAAAGAATTCTCTCAACCAAGGCCACCGATCACTATCTGGCTCACGTTTTTCCATGTTGCTGCTGCCGCCTGCTCACAAAGAATGAACAAGTTTTTCATTTCATGAGAGAAACTATTTTTTTTTTTTTTGCAGGTCTGTAGTTTTTCTTTTTTTAACCATCAGGACAGCCACAACACATCCAGTCCTTCCCAATGCGTCCACATCCGCGGTAGGCCCGAAGCGCTGCCCGCGGCGGCCACAACGCAGCGCGAGGGCGCATAGTTTCAAGTACACAATTCTGGCGCTATATATAGCGGGCTCGCCGTTTTCACTGAGGATGTCCTCATGGAAACAGACGACACGTTAATAAGAGAGTTTAGCAATTTGGAATTCCAGCTTCACTTTGGGCTCCGTCACTCCCTCGGCCAGATGCAAAACTCTTGTAATCCGAGGGCTTGGTCAAGAGAGAGTGTCCACCGACAATGTCGCCGCAAACTTCAGGCAGAAAGAATTCGAAAAAGAATTATAGAGCCCTAAAATCAAAGCCCAAGTTGTTTAAATGGTGTCACATCCGTTTTAGTTACAACACATTTTTAAATCAAAGATGCAAATAAACTAGTTTAAGGTTTTGCTTTTTAATGCGCAGATTCCAAATCTGCTCTCGATTTTTTTACCCGAGGGCATCGGGTTATCACGAAAATTTGTACTACAATCATAATTTAAGAATGTTAGGTTGGGGAACAGGTGGAATTTTGTGGTCATGGATCAAATCTGCATTGCGCTGGCTTTTAAGGGTGAAACTTAAAAATGAAAACAAATCTCCCGAGCAAAGACTTTTTTTTTTTTTTTTTAAATCAGCGTCACAAATACGCACCCTACACATGAAGCCCTCTCGGATTCAAATTTCCCAATGACCCCTTTCTCATTTGCTTCTTTGTCCTTGAGTAACCTCGAAGCTTGCGAGAGAACTTTACCAGAACTTCTGTGCAGATGTCATGGAGCTCCTTCTCGATCTTCATCCTGTACTCTTTGGCCTGGTTGGCCTTGCTGCTGTCCTCCAACTTCTGTTCCATGCTGGACACCACCCTCCACGAGGACCTGCGGGCGCCCACCACATTCTTGTAGGCGACGGAGAGCAGGTTGCGCTCCTCATTGCTCAGCTCGGCCGAGCACTCCTCCGTCACGGCCTTCATGTCCGCCGCCATGTCATCGTAGCGCTCGGCCTGCTCGGCCAGTTTGGCTTTCTGTACCAGGATCTCCCTGTCTGCCATGGCTCCTACGTGGGCTGCGGAAATAGTGGGGTGGCGAGCAAAGGAGGGAAGGGTGAAGGAAGGAAGGATAAAGGAGAGGGGGGGGGGGCGGCAGGGAGAAAACAAAGGAGACAGAGATTAGGGAGACAGGAGAGAGTGTCGGGGAGGAGGGGGAGGGGCGGCTGATGCGAAACCACAATGAATGTCAAGGCAATCCCCCTTCTTGATTTTTAAAATACAAACGGCATTCAATAAAGCAATGATAAATGAAAAGCCAAATATCTTGCTTGGCTAGCGCACAAGATGATCACTTTTTGAATGATCGCACCCAATAGCAGGCAAATTACTTTCATGGTAAATCTGTAGCAGTTTGCTCCCTCGGTAGAATGTGAAAATGGGCACCTAACTGCAAAAAGTTGACATTTGAGCAGCTACAACAAGCGTGCGTCCTGACTATACCGACATACCGGGATGGCGAACCCGAGGCCAGCGGGCTATAACATGGTAGTGAGGGCATTGGGTAGGACACGCCATTGTGCGTTGCACCCTCACCTACGATTCTCCTGTACTTGGGGCGGGTCGATTCACACCTAACTGCATATTTTTCAGCGCCTTTTCTGTAACAAACCCAAAGACGATGCCGACAGGAGCGCGATCGAAGATTCCAGACAAGGGCATGTTGTGGGGCTGACCCCAGAGAAAGCAAGGTGGTAAACTGCTCACGATGATGCAGAGAAAGGTCCAGATCAAGAAGGTGCAAAGTCTATACAGGAAGATCGGAGTTGAGTTTCCAGCCAAAAACCACAAAAACATGACCGTCTCCTCGTCGGCCTTTTCACACTGCACCATCATGAGCCCTTGCGTTGCGTATGTGCTGCAAGGGGGTGAGAATGCAAGGCTGTGTCTTGTCACGGTGCGACGCACCCTTACGGTGGAAAAACGTACAACTCGAGTGCACCGTCACAGTGATGCTTGAAGGAGCATCCAATAGAAGAGGGCCCATCAGAGTGATTTCAGAGGACTAACAGCAAGAGACCAACCAGTAAGAAAAGCCTCCCTGATACTTCCTGGGCGGCTGCTATGCAGGCACTTCCTAATACAACCAAGCTGGCGGTTGCCCTTGCGCACTGCCCCGCGGCAAACACCAAGAAAACCAAATGCAGTGTGCAAAGCCCTCGGCCTTAACCCTGTCCGAGGACTGCCGTTTGCATTGCCGTATTTGAAAATACGCAATGGTTCTGTTTCTTTTTAAGAGCAACATTATGATGTGGTGAACAATCGCCGCATCATCTACCACAACGCAAGCCAAATATAGTTCCTCTCGCGTCTTAGAAACATCAAGTTGGATCACTCCAACTTGACAGCGACTGCTATTTTCTATTATCCTCGGCGGCTTTGGTGGCATTTTATGGTGTTACATAAAGGTCAGCAGCCAAAAATACATGAATTTAAAAAAAAAAAAAAAGAAAACGAACAAACCAAAAAAAAACGGTAATAGGTTGAATAGCCAAGGATGGGTTAATAGGAAAAAATGTAGACTGAAAAAATTCAGGGGTTTACTGTATTATAATCAGCGCAAACGTGAAATCACATTTAAACCTGGTCTGTTTGATTGCTTGAATCCGATTTGTCCTGAATTTAGTACAGCTTCGGGGATGGTTAACTGACAGAAAATAGTTTCGAGTAGTACAGAGGTGGCCAGGACCTTTCCTCAAAATGGCAGCCGAGCACAGGTAAAAACATGTACCTGACGAGAAAGTAAGTCCCGGAGCGTCTGCCCTGCGGTCTTTAAAAAGCGTCGAAATCGCGTGGCGAGCGCGGAAACGATCGGGTTCAGCGACGTCTTACCGTGAGACTCGAGAAGAACCGTCTTAGAAAAGCAACATTTAGAGTCAAAATGGCACTACGAGCCAGTGAGTCACATCCACCTGCGCCCTTCTGTGGAATGTCGGCTAACCAGGTTTGGCGTCATACACACCTGCACACAAGGAACCGACAAATAATACACACCCAAGCCACCGGGACGAGTATGGAATGTCATATTCGTACATTTAAAATACAGGCGAGGGGATTCTTCTGAAGAGTCATTTGTGCTGGTCACCTCGGAGCTGGAACTGAAAAGGGAGACTAGCTTGCATGGTCGCTAGTGAACGCCCTTTACCAACCCCCCACCCCCCCTCTCCACGCTTCCCGGAAAACGAGCCCGAAAAAAAACGAGACGTAGCTGGATTAAGTCGTTCGTTCTAGATGGCTCGATAAAGTAGACGCGTGGAGACCTCGTCATTTGCGGCTATCAGGAGGGGAACTGGATGCTTCCGACGCGATCGCACTAGCCCACCGAACAATGAGCGAGCATCATCGCCGCGGTTCTCCATTCAAGCGAGCCCGCTAGCCCAGAATGCGTTTTTACGACCCCGCCCGGCGTCGATGGAGATGCGACCCCACCGCCGGTCCGCTGGAGCGGGGACTCCCACCCCCACGACTAACCTGTGGACGTCGTTGAAACGGCGCTCGCGTCTTGATTCCTGATTCCCGGGCCGCACAGCTGATGTTCGCTCGCTCGCTAGCTCGCGCTCGTCCACGGGGTTTCCCTCCAATCAAAGCAGCACGAGCAGGGTCGCGCTGGGACGGCTGACGTCACGGGCCGGTTGCCGCGGCAACTACAGTGAGGAGGGAATAATGGCGAGAGTAACACCTTGAAGAATTTTAGGTACACATACTGGACATTTTTTGTGTACATTTTTTTCTGGCACGTTTCTTCCTCGACTTCCTTAATTCCTCGCCTCCGTCAATGTTCCGATACACCTACTTTTTTATTTGTAGTCACGCATCCTTACGTTCGTTCCTCTGTTGATTAAATCTGCTTTTCTGCCTTAGTTCCTTAACTCCTTGCCTGAGACCTTTCTTCCCACTAACCCTCTTCTCTACCTTAATTCCTTTGCCCTTCCTCGCTTCTCCCTCAACCGATTTTTATTCAGCTCCTTCCTTTGGTTGAAGCTCCTTTTCTGTTCCTCCTCCTTTCCTTCCTTACATCCTTGCTTGCATTGCTGAAACTTGCTTTTCACCTTTCCTCCTCCTTTCCTTCCTTACATCCTTGCTTGCATCGCTGAAACTTGCTTTTCAGCCCTCCTTTTTTCCACCTCAGAGATTCCTTCCTTTCATTTCCCGCTTCCTTTCTGCCTTTCATCATTCATTTTCCTTCCATTTCCTCAGAGCCACATTTTATACTTTGCAGCCTTTGTCTTAAACCTACTTTTCTGCGTTCCTTCCTTCACTCCCTCCCTACCTCCTTGTCATACCTGTTTTTAATACATCCTTTCTTCCATTGTTAAACCTGCTTTTTTGTCTTCTTTCCTTACTTCCTTACCTTATTCCTTCAGCCTCTGACCAGCTTTTTTCCTTCACTCCTGTCTGCCTTCTACATTTCTTCCCTCAGAAAAACAATGACATAGGTAAAAAGGCTCTTAAGTGACTAATGTGTTAAATGTGCCCCATTCATCAGGCTTTGCCAGTGACGTTTTGGGTGGGGTTTGAAGTCTCTCCAAGTCAGCGGCTATGGCGACAAAACTTCCTTGAATTGACTTGGGGGGGGGGGCAACAAAACCAGACTGTGCATTCACAAAAGCTGTTACCACGACAACACGTGAGCTTGAATTCTATGCTGCGCTCAGAATTGTGCAGTTCCCACTGGGGTGTGTCTGAAAATAGATGACCTATAGCTGCTGGGAATTAATTCTTTCACCTCATGGAAACAGATAATTTCATTTTGCACCAGATTTTTTTTCTACCCATTAATCCGGCCTGCTACCTCAGACTTTTTCAGTGACATGTCTGACGAGCATGATTGGGCATGTCGAAGTGAAATCAACATTTCCAAGACATTTGCGAGCAAACACTCAGTGGCTGCCGAGGCGGTTCCAACTTTGTGTCCACGACAGACCCATCCTTCCTTGTTTCGTCAAGGAAACAATCATTTGAAAGAAGAAATACGTCTTACGCTGAATATAGGCGTGACATCTGCAACGCCCTCATTTAATTATACAAGCCATCAGTCTATTTACCACTTGTTTGCATTAGGGTCATGGTTAACCGTGAATTTAATATATCCATCTTTGAATACCGAAGCTACAAAAAAAAAAATAAAAAATAAAAAAATAAACTCAAGTTTTAGTAATTGTCCAGCCATTTCCTCATTGGCTTAATAGATTTTAGCATAGTTTGATTGTGAGCTTGACAAAATGGTTTCAGACAGGAAAGACGCCTTTTTTTTCAGTCATGAGGGCGGTGTCGCTTTAACTCATTTCCCGTGCATAGGTGGAAAGAAATTCAACAAAGAGGCAGATGTACCACAAAGTAAAATTTAATAAAACACTATTATACATCAGTGATCATACATTCCAGTTCCTGACACTTTCCTGTAAATTGTTAAATCTTTGCTTTTTTTCTTGTTTTGTTTAAGTAGCAGCCTGGCCGGTTAGTGACGAGCCAACATTGAGAATTAGCATTAGCGAAGTGAAACGAATACAGTGTTAAACAATGACAGGAATTAAGACCCCTCTTACAACAAGAGTGAATTCATAATAGCAACAACAATTGTCGTTCTGATTAGAACTAAATCACGTGCAAGTCCCCAGAGACCAGGTCCAACCCTGGAGCAAGAGTAGCTGTGGGGGCGCAGGGGGGGTTAATCGTCACAAAATTTATAATGATGGCTCAGCATGACAATCATTCCACGCGCACGACACATTAGGAAGTCTTCATTTGCCGGGCGGGAGCAGGAAATCAAACCTTCAGGTTCGTTTACTGTAACTTCCCATTTGGCGACATCACTCTTAATGATGAAAAATGAAAAAAGGACCGAGAGTGCAGAGCTGGTACGAGAAGGGCCTCACGGAAGTCGTCATCCAAGTGATTAGGGAGGGGAAAGAATGGCGGAGATGTGTTTTTTTGTTGGTTTTTTTTTTTGTTTTTTGTTTTTCATGCCTCCACACCTTCCAATTCAGGGGGCAGAGGGGATTTGGGATGCTTGCTCTCAAAGTGCTGCTTGAAGGTTTTGGGGTCAGGCATCTGAGACTGTGGCGAGAAACACGGCAAGACCATATTAGCAGGAACCACCAACTTCCAGCACATTGATACGTTGATAAAAATAGGACTTTAAAGTCGAAATGTGACGCACCAGAGAGATGTTTTTCACAGCCCTGCCAAATTTGAGGAGTAGAACAAAAACTGCCACATATACAGTATAAAATGAGGCTTCGAAAAGCATGAAAGCTCTTCAGATAGCATCGTTCTTATGCCTACACAACAACACATCCGAGCCACTAAAAACATCAAGACAATGAGGCGCTCTAAGACAGCTGTACCAGGGCAAAGCCCTCATCCACATGTTGCACAGCTAATTGCAACTGTGCTGGTAAACTGCTGATGCAAACAAAGGTGCTCGGGTCCTTGCAGAGGGACTTGAGTACAAGTGCATCACGCCCATATAGTCGAGGAAACCAATGTTGAAAAACTGTTCTCTCCACAAATGAGTACAACGTAGTTCTCTGCCTTCGCATGTGTTTTCAGCAGTTCCCGAACTGATTTAAAACCAAATCTCTGAATACACTTTACAGGGACTTTTAATGGTAAAATGTGCTTCTCTATTTACTACATCCATGACTATTTTAACTATGCAAACACTTTGCAGGTATTTTGTGAAAAGTACCATACAAATACAATTTAGCTGTAATCGAAATGTATTGTTGTACGTCGGTTATGATTGTTCTGCATTGCAGTATGAGTTAATTTTGTGCATTCGAGGCCAATTGTGAAGCTGCAAATCAAGAGACACTGAGTACTGATGTAGATTGCTACATTAGTTTGTCACACTAGTTACTCACCACCCACTCGTCATATGGAGGGTCAACCAGCGGGGAAAAAAAAAAAAAAACTCACCCGGCACACGGCACAGGTGAAGACGAGGGCTGCCTTGGCCGCTGTCTTCTGATCGTGCCCTTTAGCCTTCTTCATCTCGGCCTGCTTCTTGGCATTCTTCTGCTGTGACTGGATCTTCTGATGTCCGCGGGCCATGGTGATCAAATCTAGCGTGAAATAAATACAGGGACTCTTCATTAAACCAGTGAAAAAAGTCTTCCCTATAAATCGTTTCTTAGGTCATCAACAATGAACAATAAACTGCTATTCTGTTGGACGATTGAAGGGCAAATTAAAGTAAACCAGTGGTGTGAAGTAACCAACAAATACGTTTTCAGGTTTTTACTTTACCGGAGTGTTTAGTTTGCCGACTTTTGAAAATTGTCTATATGAGTTAATGTGAGTCATTAGCAAGCACAGTGGTATTGTGACATCACATTCAAAATGACTCGGGCGATTAATTTATTTAGCGAACGCTATGTGCCCAGTGATTGGGCGGGCAACCAGTCTTGGGTGTGCCCCACTTCTCTTGCCAAAGGTCATGTTTGATACAGACTTTAGACTAAACTGTCCAAAGGTGTGAATGTGAGTGAAAATGTCCTGTCACTAGTTTTACTAGACTAGTTACCCACTAGTGTGAAGTTTTACTTCATTAGCAGCAGTTGACCTACTCGAAGTTGCCCTACGAGGGAAGACAAAAAGCATACTACCACCACATGGCCCTTAATGTGGATATTAAACAGGGGGGGCGGGGTGGGCTAAAAGGGCTCGCCCTTTGTGGCTTGATAAAATTGAACGTTTACTCTTGTTAAAGGGAGAGACTGACCTTAAAATGAAGGTTTCCAACTAAAAAATTCTCAATGGTATGAAGCCTGTTTGCTCCTTCTATAAATAGCCAGGAATGGATTCAGTCTTACACACAATTAAAAGACGTAACCAAGCTTGTCTGACATGACAGAAATATAATTAATGCATAGTTTTATGACATTTACGAGAGTTAAAATCATTCAGTTCCCTTACATTCCTTTTTCCTCGTTTTTAGCGATGGGTTTATGGGAGTAAGGGGAAATTAGTTCATCTCGAATTAGGGTTATGCTAACACAAACTGACGGTCAAACGTTGCGTGTTCTTAAAAGAATACGTGAACAGGGTCAGGCACGAGACATTAAACTACCTTAAAAGGTTATCCACGTGTGCTCGAAATCATTTTCATTTTGACAATTAGGTAAAACGGGACAGGGGTTGAAACGTGGATTAGCATTCCAGCTAGCAAAACTGCCCCCCTAGCCTCCATTCGGGAACTCGGTGGGCATTTCATCGCCGCTAGTAAGCACCCTAATGCGATGCTATTTTGGATCTTATTGTAATGGTGAGTGAACATACCTTGTAAAAATAGTATGCAAGTAAGTAAGTGTCGTTCCCACGGAGCCTAAACGAAAACGTGACAGCTGCTGAAATCCCACTGACAAGATGACGTCGCTGGTAGATTCAAAGACTGTCATAAACACGGCTGTTACTGATACAAACGTACACAATTTAACGAAAAGAGGGAAAATATAATCATGCTAATAGGTAACTTTGTTTTTAAATCTTTCTACATAAAGACGACTGTTCTGTTGAATTGTGCGTTGGACAGCAATTTTTACATGTTTTCAGAAATTTTCGAGCAAGCCGTGAAGCAGCCATCAAGACCGATGACGTTGGCGACGTTGCCCCCACGTGGTAGAATGGGGCCGGTACGCATTTTTCGTGCTCATTTGACTAAATTACACCAGTCAGTTGCGCCTAACTCGCCAAGTTTAAAATATGTAACATTTCAAAATATCTAAATACATTTCAAATAAGTGACGATAAGCATTTATTGTACTATCGTAGAGTGGTACATATTGCGAAAGTTACAAAAGGGGGAATTTTGTTGCTTAATTCATATTGCAAAAACGTAATATTAATTAGAATGACGTCTTTAGACGATTGCGGCGCTTAGTATTGTGAGGAAACATTTTAAAGTTCAAGCAAAGTGTTTATCGGGTCAATGAAAGTCTCTAAATTGATAGGCAGGCGTATATATGATTGGTGTTTTGTGCCCCACTTCTCTGAAGAAGGCAATGATAGGTTAATTGAACACTCTAAATTGTCTGGAGATGTGAGTGTGAATGGTATTTCGGCATCGTGTGCAAAATGTACAAAATGGATGTATGGATCCAAAGCATATCACATCATGTGAATGCAAGTTATTCAAATCATGTCACGACTGAAATCCTATCCAGGTGAGAAAATTATCCAGCCGTCCACCTGTCCTTATCACTATCCTGCCCCCCCCCCCGCCTCCCGCCTCCCATCACATAGGAAAAGCGAGATCAGCCTTTTGTGAATGGGGGAAGGTGTGTGAGGGGAACGCCCGAGTGGCCCAGAGGCATCTTGCTGCTGTTGTACAGTCACTTGCTAGATTACAAGACCCAGGGTGGGGTTGTCAAGCCCCAGGGGGTTGGACAGCATGAAAACAAATCTACCAGGTGTCAGCAAACCAATGCGGAGAATATTCCAGACCCACCCATAATCGGTAAAAATCCAGGATATATTGTCCATGCACATTTTTTAATATACTGTATGGTCTTACTCGTCCCAAACACACTTTTTGAAAGTGTACCTTTGTGCCTGTTCTCACTCTCATGATGTCAAGAAATATCAGACTGTGGAAAGGAAAGGGAAAAGAAGACTCCCCTGCACAGTTCTCCAAATAAGAGGCAACACGTACTTGCATCAAGCTGCTCGCCCCAGTTAAAGTTTACTGTAAAACTGACACAACAAACTAAAGCGAATTAAGCACAGCATATTTACTTGGATTGGTTGGTGACCAGTCCAGGGTGTATACTGTACCGCCTCTTACTCAGTCAGGTGAGGCAGGGTCTAGCACACCCTAGTGAGGATAAGCGGTATTAAAGATGAATGGGATATTGAAACATTCATTTCCAACCATTTTCCGCTCCGCTTTATCCTGGGTCGCGGGGGGTGCTGGAGCCTATCCCAGTCGTCTTCGGGCAGTAGGCGGGGGACACCCTGAACTGGTTGCCAGCCAATCGCAGGGCACACAGAGTCGAACAACCATCCGTGCTCACACTCACTCCTAGGGACAATTTGGCGTGTTCAATCAGCCTGCCATGCATGTTTTTGGAATGTAGGAGGAAACCGGAGTACCTGGAGGAAACCCACGCAGGCCTGGGGAGAACATGCAAACTCCACGCAGGGAGGCCGGAACTGGAATCGAACCCGGTACCTCTGCACTGTGAGGTTGACGCGCTAACCACTGGACGACCGGGCCACCTGATATTGAAACACTCAAATAATAAGCCAAACCATAGAATTTTGTCTCACCAAAGTCCTCTTATTTCAATCTTATCATACAATGTGAAACGTTGCAAGACGTCACGTTTATTATAAACCTACAAACAACTGCTCTGTTAACATCTATTAGAGCTTAGTTGGGGACCTTCACTGCCTCTTCTTGCTGTTGATTACACTGCATGTCTTCCGGTAGACTTCAGCAAAAATAAACATGATCGCGAAAAAATTTCCGTGGAGCAGAATTTGGTGGACATCTATCTGTTTCACAAAATGTATTAGTGTGTGTGGGTGTGAACGGGTGAACAAGCGGCATTAACTCGGTCAGTTGTTGCTTTATGACATTTTTGGATTGGTTTACGCCACGGTCAGGTCTGCCACATCCAATATGGCGGACACAGTGACATATTGTAAAAACATGGAGGTACATGACTGACCGGCTGGACAAACCGGCTAAATGAATACAAACGCATGACAACTTTGATAATGGAATGTCTTTTGGTCCCTTCCCTGAACGCTCCCCAAATCCACATGTTACTACTTCAACCACGTCACGTGAAAGGTTACCGCGTCACCCGTTCCCAACCGGAAGAGAAAGAGGGCCTCTTAACCTTCCTCATCTGACGCTTTCTCTCCGTTCTCCCTCCGGTTCCCAACCAACCGGTTTTGCCACAATGTTGCCGGACCAGTCGAACCGCGCACACGCGGAGCACACACGGCGCAGCGCGGCGCATTCATGCAAACCACAACAACAACAATTTGCACGATGTGGTATGCTTTGGATCAGGGCGCGCAGACTTTTGTGCTTGAGGGCTGCATTTAATTTGACTGACAATTTTCCAAAAAAAACAGCAGAATTATTTCAACAACTTAATTTGTGAATGCTCATAATGCAATTCATGCTAGTGTTTTTATCTCATTGTTTATAATTCATTTAATTGCCATCTATTTACCAATTATTTAGTCAAATAAAAATACAGGTTTATTCAAACTGTTTTTATATTTCTGTTTTATTTAATTCCTCACAGTAAATAAAAAATGATTATGATTCATAGAACAGTATATGACAGTGAATAGATAAATGGATAAAATGTAGACAAAAATGTCTACATTTGAATTGAGCTGAGCCTTCTGAGGACCTAAAAGGGTTCCCCACTTCTGCAACACTGCATGATGTGGCATGCCTTGGAGCATGAGGTTACATACGTTGACTGGGAAACCTCCATAGTTGTGAATGCGAGTGTTTGTGGTTGCCTCTCTGCCCCTTTCAGGCCGCATGCAAAATCCGTCATTTTCTCTCTGAACTGGAACATATAAGAGGGAGCATGTAACTACCATTTTGACCATTTCACCCACACTGAATCGTCTCTTAAACCTCGGATGTGGCGATTTTGCAGGATATCTGAGTGAAATAGTCTTTCTCCTTCTTTCCATGTGTAGGACAAATGGTTCCATTGCACCTGCCTACACTCGCTCGTGGTTCTGGAGCTGCCAAACAGGTTGACTCCCAATCCAGGGGCCAAGTCCCAACAAGTACAAAAAAAAAAAAACAAAAAAAAACACGTTTGGTATGTACGATTTTTTTTTTTTCCCCACATACGCAGAAGGCAGGAGGAGGCATGGGAACGGGAATTCTTGAGCAGCGTCTTGGTGGCTGACGTCTCAGTCTTGCCCGTGCTTGCTTGGAGTCGCACGGTTTCAACTGTCACAATGTCACATGGCAACGCCGGAAAAGTTTGAGACTATATATGACCTGCCACCATTTAAAGCGTCCCTGATCAACCCTAACGTCAACAGTTCAGATGTTTGAGGAGGCTTTTCTTAACATTTCTTTTGTGCTTCTTCTGTCCGTTCTACAAATCAAATGTGGCCCCTTGAGCTCTGAAAAGTTTGCCCGCCACTGGTTTACTATTGCATTTATTGTGAACACCTTCAACTCTGCCTCCCTCTCCCCGTGTTGTGTTTGTGTGCTGTTGGGAAGAAAAAGGACTCCACCTGTATTTATCTAGCACACACAACACACAGCACACCGAAAAGGCCCCAGCTGCTCTGGGAAACAAATGAGATGAGAAGAACATGGCTGTGTCTCATACACGCACACAAGGGGATGACACCACTGGCCGTTAAACTGAAGCTAGAACCTTTTCCTTAAAAAAAAAAAAAAAAAGATTTCCATACACATCACCCGGAGGCTTTCACAAGCAAATGTGCCTGTCTATTTGTCCCGTCAACAACTTGCAAGCATCCAAACCATTTTGCTAAAATAACAACAACAAATGACAATTAAACTTGTAAAATAATCAAAACGATAAATACAATGAATAGAAAAAAAAAGTGGACACATTTTTTCCTGTTGTTGGTTATCATGTATTGATAGCGGTTGCATGCCTTTGACGTGAACTTTGAAGCTAAATAAACAGGACTGAATTAGCATTGAGGTGGTGATTGTAGGAGACAAACATGCACCTGCATTGTTTGCTGTCGGCCTGGCTGATCCCAAACACTGTGATGTGCTCACACAATGGCTTCATTAAAGGGACAATGGCATTGTGTCAACTAATGACAGCCCCCCCATCACAACCACCACTGCCTTTATTTCCTCTTTACTCTGTAGTGGTGGGCAAACTTTTGTGCCCCGAGGCCCACATTTGAGTTTTCAAACAGATACTTGGGCTGGCTAATTGTATTCTTCCTAATGAAATTATTTGCAGCCAATTAACCAATGGCAGTGGATATAAAAAGTCTCCACACCTATTCAAATGCAATGGTTTTGTTGGCTAGAAACGAGATCAAGACAAATCACTTGAAATTTTTCTCCACCGTTAGTGTGACCTATAACCTGTACTCTCCACAATCCCCTGGAGTGAAAAAACAATGCGAGCTTTTAGAGAGAGGATGTAAAAATGATGATGATGAAGATAATGTTGACCTTCATTTGGGGTTAATCTGTGGCAGTTTAAATGGTGGAAGGTGTGTGCTGACTCCCACTTCACATGACTATGCACCAAATTGGTTCATTCTGAACTGTAAGTAAGTAAGCAACTGTCACTAAGTAACTGTAAACATGCAACACTAAGGACATATGTTGGAATTTAATTGGGTCATTCTGAACACAGTGACATCGCCAGTTCTAGGTGGGCGTACACACTTGTGCAATAACATTTTCTTACTTCATTTTTAATTCCCCTGTAAAAAATATTGAATTTTTCCAGGTTGTAGGTGTCATTCATGCTTTTTGAAATGTTTTATAATGTTCTTTCTCTCTCTCTCTCTCTCTCTCTCTCTCTCTCTCTCTCTCTCTCTCTCTCTCTCTCTCTCACAAATGTGTGTAGACTTTTTATATTATTGGATTTGTGAAAATAAAACATGCAAAATGGTGTCCTACATTAATATTTTTGCATTTTATGTAAAATTGTTTGCTGTAATGGTATAATAATTGATTCTATTTTTAAAAAATGTACAGTTCATTTATTGGTAATTACAAAACTTTTTGTCGACATTAAAAAATCTGCTTTCTTCGAAACTCATATTTTATTTTGTTAGATAAAATACCTCCCCACAATCATTTAAAAATGTCATGAATTAAATATATAAATACAAAAAAATATTCACAGCGAGGGAGGAGGCGTGTCCTTTAACTGCCTTTCCTGCACTTTCAGCCAATCAGCAGTCAGCTCTCTTAGCCGCGGGCAGCCAATCAGCGACGACCTCACCTTCCCTTCGCTCGCCTGTGAAAGAATTTCCCAAAGCTTAACGATTAGCGACGCCAAATACAAACATCGCCGTGTTGATGTGTGTATGAATCATGTTGACATCGTGATAAAGTGCTAAAGTCGACTTTTGTGGACGGAAAGGAAGCGGAGGGAGGGGTACTAAACAAAAAACGCGGGCTTTACCTGCGGGGAAGAGACAACGGAGGGTGGCGGTGCGCGAGTGACAGGAGGAGGAACTGGAAAAAAAAAAACAGTCGGGGGAAAAAAAGAAAAGTGGACTTACCTGTACGCCAACTTCTGCCAACCCGCTCCCTCTTATCACCTGCTCCGACTTGAAAGTCCAGTTCCACCAGGCACCGAGCCGGGGAGAGGAGGTGAAATATGTCACAGGAGACAGACAAGTAAGTGATCACGCCTGCGGAGACGATCTTTGATACTCGTACCCAAACTGGGGAGGGGGGTCCCCGACCCCCCACTATTTTTCTTAGTTACTTTGGAACCTTTTTGGGGAAAATCATTCAAAGCACATATGTTGCATTTTAGAAACAGTCGCTTACTAATAATTTTTACATCACTTGTGGGTGTCTGATGATGTAAAGTTTTGGAGGGACGTTTGGTTTGGATTCCCCGTTTTTGGTTGGTTTTTTTTGGGGGGGGCAATGAAAATATATTAAACATACACGGACGTTGTTGTTTTGTTTGTTTTTTTTTAACTTCAATATTTGCATTTTACATTGCACTGCGCGAGCTCTAGGTCTTGTGTAAATATGCATATTAATAGCGTGTGATTATTCATCAAGAAGTGTGGGCAATGACATGGTGTTTGCCGTAAAGCCTCCCAATTTCAACTCATTTTTCTCAAACTTAGAATGTGCAATTTTGAGATCTGATGCGACTTCAGTCATCATTTTGTACATATTTAGTAAGTGGGTGATGACGTTAGATTGATTTGAATGAATGACTGTGGGGGTGATGGGGGAGCAAAAAAATTGTCAATAAAGTTAATAGTTAATTTTAAAAAAATCGCCATTTTCCTCATTTATAGAAAAAATATATCAAAAGGATGTCACATATTTATATATATTGTGCCCATTTTTCAAAATAAATGCCACCTGACTACAAATCCGACTTATCGAGCCAAACGGGTAAATTTTAACTTGATGTTGCATGCATCCATCCTACAACAGATCCCTCCTTGAATTTTGTAGTTCTCGAGCAAGAAGACAAAGAACATCAAACCCAAAACATTGAACATCAGCTCATCTAAAAACAACTACCCAATAGCAAAGGTGAAAACACAAGGGTACGTGCTCGAGAACACCCGTGACCCATGCCGACACATTGTTAGATGCCTGTATGGTGGCCACGTGGTTGCCACGGTGATGTCTCAAAGGCAAACACTCAGGAAGGGGTGCAGCATATTCGTGATTAGCCGAAACCTGCCGTCAAACTGGCCGTATGGATGTCCTGCTCGCGCTGACTAAATCCTTCTCATTTGGTTTCAGGGCTTTCTTGGAAGTGTTATTGAAAGGTGTGTGCGTCCAAGGCGCGACCGCCAATTTACATCTCACATTGTGTAACATGTGGCGTGCGCCTCGTGGAAACGCAGCCAAAATCAAGCTGTTGTGACAACACGGCGTGTTGAACAACTCGGTGTCATTTCTCCTCCTAAAGTGGGCCAACAGAGTGGCGAAGGCTCGACCCGCTAGCTTGAGACTCTTGCACGTGACACGGCACACAAGCAAGTGGGAAGCAAGATTGGAAGCCACACCCTCTTGAGTGTGGCAACCGTGTTGCCGACCAAACCAGCATAGCACGCTAACAGCCTCTCAGATGATGCTGCTCTCCGATTTAGCGGCACAGAAGTGTTTCTGTGCCGTCTGGAGTCCCGCTGACGATGAGCAGCAGCTCCTGAGCCCCTTCCGACTCTGTTGCTCACCAAAACAGCAGCACCACGAACAGACTCTCAGATGACCATGAGGTCAAGTCAAGTACAACTTTATTGTCAAATGCGTTTATGTCAAATGCGCTGCATGTGCAACATACAGCACAGATGAAATTTCTTCCCTCTCTTATTTCCTGATGAGAATCCAACATTTTTCCCAAGCTTCCCAGCCTGTTTTTTTTCTTTCCAAGAGCGGCCGATAGGTGGTCACGGTCTGATTCCAGAGGCTCCATGGATTCCCTTTGCTTCGGGTCTGATTTAAACATCCAACTTTAGCCTCGATGTGAAGGGTTTGCCAATCCTTAATTCATAAAGTGACTGTGGTGTCTGCCCAGCAAGCGTCTGGTGGTGGTGGTCCCCAACGAGAGCTCCTGTCCGGCCGTGCGGCGGGCCTACACCAGCGAGGACGAGGCATGGCGCTCGTACTTGGAGAACCCGCTGACGGCTGCCACCAAGGCCATGATGAGCATCAACGGCGACGAGGACAGCGCCAACGCCCTGGGCCTCCTCTACGACTACTACAAGGTCTCTTGGTGACTTTCGGGGAGGTGGCTGTCCAAACGCATGTAAAACGGGAGTCAGCACATCCACGTGTTGTCTTCCAGGTTCCGAAAGAAAAGAGACTCCTGACCGCTCCCAAAGTTACGGAAATAACGGAAGAGCAGGAGAAAAGGTTAGTCGACAGGCTAAATGGCCAAACAAAGAGTGGCGCGTTGTTTCTGGCATGGCGGCTCCGTGTTTGTCCAGGTTGGCCGGCAACCCCAGTGGCGTTGAGGCCGAGGCGTTGGACAACCGCGTCCAGGTTCTCAAGTCGGTCCCCGTCAACCTGTCACTCAACACCGAGCACCCCGGCGGTCCCGACCCCGCAGGCGGGGCGCCTTCTGCGGCTTTGGTGAAGGCCGAGTCCTACGTGCCCGTCTACACGCCCACGGTCGCCGGGCTCCACTACCGCCTGGACGGTGAGGAGGCGTCCCGGGTGGTCTACGAGCAGAGCCCCTACGAGGTGACCACCGTCAGCCACAGTTCCTACGTGAAGGAGGACCAGCGCAGCCCGCCGGACAGCCCCTCGTTTGACGAGGACGGGGACACGGTGAGAAATTTTTCAGGGGCTCCACATCTGTCCTTGCGATTCCTGGAAATTACCCCGAGGGGCTGAGTTCCTGTTCAAGTTCAAGCTCGGGTCCTTGAGACGATTTCATGCGTCTCATTGTGATGAACTTGTTGATCGATTCACCTGGTGTCAAGGGGCTGATAGATTTTATTTTCTCATTTTTTCAAAATGGGGGAGTGAAAAGCTCCATTGGCATCATTGTCGTTTGTGGGTTTTTTTTTTTTTGTTAGAAGTACCACACGCCTTCCTCCCTGGCGTCAGATGACTTCTTGTTCCAGCAGGACGCAGCGTAAGTCACCACCCAGTGTGCAAAGAGGGCCTGTTTTTTTTTTCCGTCCTTTTGTTATGACGAGTCTCATGACGTTGCAGCGACAGCTTCCAGTACACGCTGGACGCCACCCGCTCGCTACGCCAGAAACAGGGTGAGGGTCCCATGACCTACCTGAACAAGGGCCAGTTCTACGCCGTCACCCTCAACGAGCTGAGCTCCAACAAGCGCCTACGACACCCCATCAGCAAAGTGCGGGTGAGCGCCGCCTCCGTAGCATTGAGAGGTGTCACTAAAACCAATTTAAATTGAATGACCAACGGGTTGCGATTGAAAAAATGCGAGCATAGGGCGGCCCGGTGGGCGACCGGTTTGCACGTCGGCCTCGCAGTAAAGAGGTGCAGGGTTCGATTCTGGCTCCGCCCTTCTTGTGTGGTGTCGGCGTGTTCCTCCCACATTGCAAAAACATGCACAGCGGGCAACTGAGATTGTAAAATGTAAAAGAAACTCATGGCGAGCCATCTCATACCAAATGGAATCGTCATGCCTCTTCACTGAGCCAAATGGAATCGTTCCCACTTATTGAGCAATATGTCTTCAATCGCCTTTCGCCTTGGTTGCAGAGATGCACCGCAAAAATGGAACCGTTTCAATGGCAAAATTGGTTTGCAAACATGGTTGAATTTGCATGGGCCAGCGCTGCTGATTCTGAAGTCCTTGGGGAGATTGCATCGGCATGGCAACACATACGGGCTGGAATCTGATTGGATTAAAAAAAAACAAAAAAAAAAACAAGAACAATCTAAACATCCACATACATATACTGGAAACACAATTTCAAATATGAAGCCTTTTGGCCACTGCTGCACTTTTACTTGACATCAGTGGTCTTTTGTCTCAGAGTGTGATCATGGTGGTGTTCAGTGAGGACAAAAACAGAGACGAGCAGCTGAAATACTGGAAGTACTGGCACTCGCGGCAGCACACAGCCAAGCAAAGAGTCCTGGACATCGGTGAGACCTCTTTGATTTGGCTTTAATTCCAATGCTGGAATGCACTCGGTCGGTTTAAAAAAGCAAGAAAGGAAAAAAAAAAAGGCCACACTGAGAGCAAACAATCCCCCACCCTGCTCGCTGCCTACTCGCCTTCAGGCGAAACAGCCACCATGACACACACACACACACACACACACACACACACACACACACACACACACACACACACACACACACACCTGAAGAATAGTGAATTGTTGCTGGAACAACTCCACTATGGTGATGTGTGTGTTTGTGTGTGTGTGTGAGAGAGAGAGATTTGTTAGTGTGTTTGACAAGCTCGGGCCTGCTAGCGCCACGAAACGTTTTGAGGTATGTGACACACTCGCACACACACGTACATATAGACACGCACATGCAGCTTGTCGGGACAGGGAGCGGAATGTGAAGATGCTCGGTCCGTTTAAAAAGAATGATTTTTCTCATCGACATCATGGGGGTATTCATGCTTGATCATCAGCAAACACGCACGCATGCATGCACGCATTGACATAAACACACGCATTCTGTCATCCAGTACTGATATTTTTCTTCATCTGGATTGACAATGTGTTTCATTGAACTTTTTCATTTATTACTTTGTTACATACAATCAAGAAATAGAAATCCTCCAATTTCCAACTTCCTCTCGTTTTGCAACAGAAGTGTCCATGAGAACAGAAAAACCTTCCTGACTATTTAAAATGTATGTAAAATAAATGTAACGTATGCAAATATTTTTATGAAAAAAAAAACGTTAACATTCATCAAATAGTTCATTGCCAGTTCCACTTCTCTGAAAAGTAGACAACAACAATGAGCATGAATAGATTTTTAACCACAAATTGCTCAAGAACGAATTGCTCATTTTGGATCCTGGAAAGGTCGTCAACTGCGTAGCGCATCCCGACGGAGATTTTCCTGTTGACCTCACAACCGAAACTCTGGCGCAAGCTGAGCACAGATTGACGTGAACCATCCAGCCAGGCGGTTGGCTAAATCACAAGCGACTCTGCACCCCTTTCCGCTGGCTTGATGCAACCCGAAACCGCCAGGAGAGCTGATTTGAATAGCAGCGGAGGAGGGCCTGGGCGTGAGTGATGTACAGGTGCCTCGGGCCACGTCACCCAATACATGAGCTCAGTTAAAAAGGGGTGTGGGCTTCTTGTTTCCTGTCTCCATTGTGCACCTGTTGCGGAGCAAGGAAAGACCGGCCGGCATATAAACACAATCCCCAGACCCCAGGATGGATAGCCCCCCCGGCCCCAGCGGCTCTGTCGTGTGAAACAATTGATTTGTTTTGAAGGTTGGTGCGCAAATGCCCAGTCGCCTCTTCCATACAGAGGCCCTGCAAAAGCGCCAAATCAGAGACAGCGCGGAGGACCCGGCCGCCCTCGGCGGGCCTTTGCCTTTCACACCGAATCCGGTAAAGGCAGAATATTGCCGCCGAGGCAAAGGGGCTGCATGAGCGCCAAAAGAGAAGAGTGCCTGGAATTCATCCACCCGTTGCTTTCACACCGAACCCAGCAATCATGCCGCTTCTGACCCTTAGAGAACATTGGCAGCTTGTTACCGGCGGTGTGAAAGGGACTATTTGTTCCTCCACGTAACAGAATTCCTGAGACACTCCCGTTTGCTCTGCGGCCATCAAAAGGGTCTCCTGAGCGGCCTTTTGAAGCCAGAGACTTTGTTTGTCCGGGCCAGATAAGGCTTTAGCTTGCCAAATTGAAGCGTGCGCCGTTGGATTGCTTATCAGGAACAAACAATGGCTACCTGCTTGTGACTTTTAATGACCACTCTGTGCCCCACCCAGCCCCCCCCCCCTTTTTTTTTTTTTTTTTTTTAAACGCTGTGATTCTCCTTCCAGCCGACTACAAGGAGAGCTTCAACACCATTGGCAACATCGAAGAAATCGCCTACAACGCCATCTCCTTCACGTGGGATGTCAACGAAGAGGCCAAGGTGAGAAAAACAACTGGACATTAAAATAACATGAAAATTAAAAAAAAACATTTTTGCAAATAGCAACCAATCAGTGGACGGAAAAATGCTGACGGAGAATTTGAAATCCGATGGGTTGCCGACATAGTCCCATTGCTAATATGCTTGAAATGGATCCAGCACTCTTCATTCTAAAGGATGTGATTAGCACGCCATCGTGCTTAAGCTGAACTCTGATTGGACCCCCTCAAAAAAATGAACATCGTTGATTAAAAGCGGTGCAGCCAAAAGAAGCGCGACAACATTTCCGTTATTGACATGTAAACCCTCTGCAAACCAGTCGGGTATGTTTAACAATGCCAGAGGTGTGTCGGGAAATAAAAAGCAGCCGGACAGGTTTTTTCTTTTTCTTCTTCGTCTTTTTTTTTTTTTTTCTGACTCGGTTGTTGGCAAACAAGCGCAAAGTGGACAAATGAGTCAGGAATTGGCTCATCGGTAGTACAAATGCCACAAGACTCTCAAAACGTGATAAGTTAGGAACGCTAAACAGGTTCTCGTGCTAATTGGACACTTCTGCTCTTCTGGAGTGAAATGAGCGGTTAACATGGCGTTGTCGGGCGATGGTTGGCCGGAGGGTGCCACGCTTTTAGCTTGCCAGCAAAACATGAGGAAGCCTACCAGTCGGAGGGAAACGTATCATCATCGTTATTATTATCATTCCAAAGTGGTCCGTTTCTCCGTAGTTCACTGTTATTTTATTAGCTTGTACATTTGTTGTGCAGTAGAAAGGAGTGAACGTTCATCAAATGTTGAATGATCCTCGTTGTTGTCAGTAGCGCTGCTCTCAAACTGGCAAAGCAACGAGTTAAAAAAAGCGGTTGCCCGTCCGCAAACAGCAGGTACTTGTTGTCCCGACCGCTGCGTGACACCCCCAAAATCGAGGTACCGCCGTGCTAGGTGACGGCTCGACAAATTAAAAAATACAAACAAACCAAGAAAAACACGCCGTTGTGCTCATTTCACTTTGGAAGATTTGACGCCGTTTCAAGCTCCTTAGCGCGAGCATTCAGCTGGTGTCGAAAGAGACCAGGACAACCCGACGGAGCCTGAGATTTTGAACACTCCTGAAGAAAAGAGAAGGCCCGCCAAGCGTTGAAGGTCCTTTGCGAACAGTGTCATTGGAGCGGTTGAGACTTTTAAATGAGCAGCACACAATGGCAAGAGGAAGAACCCATCCCGACTTCCCGTTTCCTCCTGTGACACGCGATGAATCGGGCAAACGTCCATGACACTGCCACTGTGCCGTCCGTTAGATCTTCATCACGGTCAACTGCCTGAGTACGGACTTCTCGTCGCAGAAGGGCGTCAAGGGTCTCCCTCTGATGATCCAGATAGACACGTACAGCTACAACAACCGCAGCAACAAGCCTCTGCACAGGGCCTACTCGCAGATCAAGGTCTTCTGTGACAAGGTCAGACACCAGACACCTGAATACGTTGGAGCTGGTATCGTTTGGGTTGCTGGAAAGAGGGGGAGGGGGTCGGCTTGGTCATTTTCCACCCCAGGTTGAATAAGACACACCTTCATATGTCAAGGATGGCATTTATTTTTCGCTATGAACACGACATGGAGAGGGGGAAAAAATAAGATGAGGCGGGTGGGGGTTGTCCATTCAAACAACACATAAAAGTGGCCCAAATGATTGTCTCAAACCAAACCGATACTTTGGTTCGGCTGACTTGGCCGGATCGTGGCACAAGTGCTCCCTCTTGTGGTCACACCTGTCCACACCACATTCCTTCTTTGGCTTGCCTCCATTTGAGTTCACGATGTCTTTCAGGGAGCAGAGCGTAAAATAAGAGACGAAGAGAGGAAGCTGTTCCGCAAGAAATCCAAAGGTACCGAGTCTCACAATAAATCTGAGTTCATGAGCAGATTCCGAATGGATCACGTGAAAGCAGAAGCTGTTGAAGCACTTCTCCTTTGCTGTGCAGCGAAAGATGGCACCGTGGGCGTCATCACGGTACCCAAGAAGTCAGACACCACCTATTTCAAGACCATGACCGACCTGGAAGCGCAACCTGTCCTTTTCATCCCCGACGTCCACTTTGGAAACCTCCAGAGGGCCGGACAGGTACGCTCTGCCATGAAAACTCTCTCATATGTATGTGTGTGTGTGTGTGTGTGTATATACACACACACACACACACACACACACATATATATATATATGTATGTATGCAGATTATGTAACAAAAGCTACGTTTTCAGGTGTTCACCTTCAACACGGAGGAAATGGAGCGAGAAGGGTGAGCGCGCCCAAACAGGAAGTGTCATTTACATCGGCTCAAAGAGATATGCAAAAGAGATGCACAACACAGGAAGCGTGCATGGAGACAAAGCAAATCAATCTTTTTCATGACAATGTCTGCGCCAGGAGCGTGCTGGTGAAGAGGATGTTCCGGCCGTCGGAGGACGACTTGTGTCCGTCGCCGCAGAAACAGATCAAGGAGGAAGCGCACAAGAGAGGTATAAAATGGCGGCTGTACTTAATATTGGCACTGGCTCGAGCCTCCATTTTATGGAACACTGTTCAGGCATTTGCTCCAAAGCCTTCACACACATATACACACACACACACACACGCACACACACACACACACACACACACACACACACACACACACCAGCACACTAGTAAAATGACAGTGTCCCCACGCACAGTCGTAACGCTTATTAGTGTCCTGTACTAGTAGCCAAGTAGTAACTACCCACTCGTAGTTTTGCCTGACTGGAAATGTGATTGTCCTCCTAGTGGCCAGAATTTTATACAGCGGTGGACAAAAAGTTATTAGTATGACCCTGTGGTACTACTAGAGCGTTCAGCGTTCTGAACTAGTAAGGTCAAAGATTGTACGAGTACACGGCCCCTAGGATGGACACCGGGGATATTGAATAAATGCTCATGCGGCCCACCATAAAGCACGAGAATGCTCCGAGAGGCTACTAGTGTGTGACACATGCCTACGACATAGTCGGGGGCCCTGTTGCGTTAGTAGCGCGGCACTGTAGTTGGCTAGTAAGCTTTAAATGTGTAACTGTGACAAAGGTGCCACTAGTAGTTGTCGTTGGATTGGCGTGACTCCCACTGACGTGGCGCATTTGTCCTGTCACAGTGCTGCTGTACGTCCGCAAGGAGACGGACGAGGTGTTTGACGCACTCATGCTCAAGTCGCCGACGCTGCGAGGCCTGGTGGAGGCAGTGAGTGGCGGCCGCCATTTTATCTTCCCCCCATTGCGACATTTTTCTTTTTTTCGTCAAAACAGCACAGTCAGCATTTTCATTTGGTTCACAGATATCGGAGAAGTACGGCGTGACCACCGAGAAGATTGCCAAAGTCTACAAGAAAAGCAAAAAAGGGTGAACCGGAGATCGCAACAATTGGGTTTCGCATAAGTTGTCTTTCATTCCACTTTTTATTGCGCCAGTATGCTAAAACCTGCCTTTTTTTCGGTGGGGGGTGGGTTGTCCAGCATCCTGGTGAACATGGACGACAATATCATCGAGCACTACTCCAATGAGGACACGTTTATCCTGCACATCGAGAGCTACGCCGACACCTACAAGGTCACGCTGACCGAAATCTGAACCGCACGCACATGGAAAAAAAGTTGAAGACTCCAGGTTACTCTTGCACCGAGTAATCGCCACTCTAATGGTCCTTAAGGGCTGCAATCATGGCGCCCATATTCACGGCTCCACTGTGCAAAGTCTCTTGTCATGGTGTGCATACTTGATTTGGATTGCTAAGTCCCCTCGTCATCATGGAAGCATTTCGCCCGCATTCATTCTTCGTTAGTGGCTTCTTTGCATGCCCACCTTGATTTGGTTTTAGTGTTGTTTATTTAGTTATATTATTTATTTCTTTTCTTGAAATTTCTGTGCGTGTGTGTGTGTGTGTGTGTGTGCGCGCGCGCGCGCGCGTGTATGTGTGTGTGCATCCATCGATTTCAAGTACAATACTTCACATTTCAGCGATTTCCCAGCAAGTCGCCCTCAATGAGAGCCCTTGCGTGACTTTTATAAATACAACAATGTCGAGATTCACGTCAGCATGTGCTAAGACGTGAATAAAAACACGTGCCGTGGAAATCTGTGACAAACTCATCGACTCTCATGCGTGTTTATTGCCAGATTCAGTTTTATGCGCATTTTGTGGGTATTTTTTTTTTTCAGGACCGATAAAAACATACACTTGGCCCAATTGTCTTTATTTGAATGACAAAACGGACATCCTACACAGACGTTAACAATATAAAATCTAACCCCCCAAAATATATGACAGTGACGTCCTTGTTTGTTCAACAGGTAACAAATGTACAGTATACATACATGATACAATACTGTGTGTGAGTGTGTGTGTGTGATATATGTCTGCGGTCTGCTAATTTCGAATGGAATATATATATATATACATATATATACATATATATATTCTATATTTGGCACTTTGACCACAGGATGCTCATGGAAGCCTGGCCTGTTACACCGTCATTGTCACAGATCTTTTTTTTTTCTTTTTCTTTTTGATGATTATTTGTTTCCTCACCCCCTTACACACACACACACACACACAACTACAAAATTGTGTCTTCACACCACCAGGGATTAAAAGAAAGAATACTTAAAAAGTCAAGTGAAATTTAAATTTGGTGCAGCTTTAAAGCATGACAAGCAAAACAAACACACGTGGGACAAAAAATGGTGATCCAAGTGGCCATTATGGGGAACGTTACTTCCCGCGATGCCATTTTGTGGCGTGACTGCAATGCAACACAGATGTGGTCCTGGTCCAGCATAAATAGATGACATCTTTTTTGCCCTTTCAAGTAAAAGAAAAACATCCTATTGCAATAATGCACTGTATACCTTTTTTGAAAGAGGTAAATCCATCATAAAAGAATGGAACACTACATATCCTTAAAAAGCAATTTTGTTTTTGTGTATGTATGTGTTGAATTTTGGAGGAAAAAAAAAAACTCAAAATGATTGTTCCCCTGGCCAAAAATTGAATTCATGGGAGCTTTGAAAATGTATTTGGCGGAAATAAACAATGCAATTATTTTGAAAATTATACAACTGACAAAAATTTTCAAATGTTTTGAGAAATGTAATTGTTGAAACGATTGTGTTTTTATTTGGTAAAAATACATTGGCATAAAATGAATTTAAACTGGAAAATAATTACAAAAATAATTTTACTCGTTGAAAAGATTAATAAGCATTGACTATTCAACATTTCATTTTGAGTTGAAGTGATATTTTTTAAATTAGTTACAATTCTTTAAAAATTTAAATAAATGTATCTACAAAATGTATTTATGTTCACAAGTCAGACTTTACCGGACAATTACCAAAAAAAAAAAAAGTTTTTTTCCACCGCCAACGCCGAGCTCCAGTTGGCGCATTTTGTTAAAATTCTAAAAAGAAATGAAACCGCAGAGGAACAAAAGATTTTTTTTTGTATTATTATATCTTCTTTTTATCTCTAAATGTCCAGCCAGCATGCTGCTCATTTGGGACTCGACTGTAACATTCCTCCTTCAGAAATTCAAATCCTTCAGAAATGGAAAAAAAAAACAAAAAAAAAAACAACCAAACATTTCCCACGATGCTCCACTTCCAGTACTTGTCGTTCACTGAGTCTTTCCAAAACAAAAAGCACAGCAGCAAACATGGGTTCAGTGCAGTTCCGTACCCGCTAAATTCACTTTTTTTTTAAACAAGTCCTGCGCGTACGGCAATACAGTCCTTCAAAGGTGTCCTTTCAAATGATATTGGTAATTTTTTCATTGATGAACTAACACAAAAAAAGAGGGGAGAGGAAGAGAAGCGAGCTGGCCGCCTACTGGCCGGCGCTGCTCGGGTCGCACTGCAGCAGCCGAACGATGGATGGGTCGTTCCTGGCGCCCTCCACAAACTCCTCCAGGGACAACTTACCTAAATAAAACAAAACAAAAAAAGATTGAAGAAAGAATAAAGTCAGAATCTGCAGGGGGAAAGCATCAGAATTTTACGCAGATTAAAGTTTGTGAGAAAAAGGAGCTTTCGTGAGGGAAAAAAAAAAGACCTAACACATAATATTCAGAGGATATGTATGACACTTGTATGAGGAAAACAGTCTTAGATGATAAAGCAACCATTTAACAATAATCATTTTAAAATAATGAAGCTGTCGTTTTGCAGGGCTTAAACTAAATTCAGGGGGGGGGCGGAATCTCACCATCTTGATTCGTGTCCATCTGCCTGAAGATTTTCTCTGTGCGCTTCTCAGGCGTCGACTCATCCTCCGGCATCTTCATCACCGAAGAGACCATCTTGTAAATGGCCTGTGTTGGAGGGGACACCCGCCCGGCGTTTTTGAGAAAGCATTTCTTGGTCACGTCACAACGTGGCAGTAACCGCCAGAGGGCGCGGTTGCCAGTACTTTGCGATGTGGTAGACGGACTCGAGCAAGTAGTCTAGGTTTTTTACTGAAGGGGGCCTCCGAGGTGGGAGCTGCCCGCCGAGACCCAGGTGAGTCATTTACTTTTATTTTGTGTTGTCTCTTAATCAAGTCACGAATTTTTATCCGCCCAAACTTGTTCGGCGGATGGGGCTGGGCGAGTATCCAACGGCAATCTGGATCGTCATCAAAACGAAGATAAAACGCCTTCGATCAAATTGAAACAAACGCCGAGCCCGGCGGTGCGCGTGTTGTAGGCGGCGATTAACAGGGTGGCGTTTACATTTGTTCTACCATTGCGAGCATGTAAAAAGAGATTTTTAACACAAAAGCGTGTTTCGAGCGCAGCCGATTACAGGTACTGAGAAGTACGAAACCAACGAAGAAGAAGTCCGACTCATTCGGGACGAAAGTGTGGAATCACTTTGTTCAAATAAATGAAAAAAAAAAAACAAACAAAACGAAACAATAGAGTTTACATTATAATGTTCATGCCAAAGATTAAAAAGGCAATGCAGAGAGAGAGAATTATTTAGCAAAAATATAACAAAGAACTAATGGCCTTTGATAGTAAAAAAAAAAAAAAGTGCTATCTACCAGCGGGCATTAGCTGACTGAACAAACAAAACACAAACGCAGTCCACCACAGGCTGCCAGACACATAATGACTCAGCAGCCCGAGCAAAGACTCACCGTGACTATCTCCAGCATCTCTGCCTTGCTGATGTAGCCGTTGCCGTCCAGGTCGTACATGCTGAAGGCCCACTTGAGCTTCTGGTCCAGGCGGCCGCGGGACGTGACGCTCAGCGCAATGATGAATTCCCGGAAGTCGATGGTGCCATCGCCGTTGGCGTCAAACGTGCGGAAGACGTGCTCGGCGAACTTGGAGGCGTCGCCGTACGGGAAAAAGTTGGCGTAGATCTTTTTGAACTCCTCCATGGAAAGGGCGCCGCTGGGGCAGTCCCGCAGGAAGCCCTTATACCACTCGGTGATCTCGTGCTCTGTGAAGTCGGTGTTCTCCATCAGATCCTGCATGACGTCAGGACGGAGCTTGCTGTTCTGTTTACCCATGGCAGATGGCGAAAGTGAAACTGCGTCGCGAGAGGATGGCGGCAGTTTCAAGCGGCTGAGGAGAATGCAAAATAGCGTCAGTGTGGAATTGATCATCAGTCAATCACCTCTCGAAAGCAATTTACCCCCCCAAAACTGGCTTTTTTTGTCTCCGTTGTTTTGCTGTCTCGAAAAAAACAGGTTCAGTGAAGTCGAGAAAATGCAGGCTCCAGCCATCATTCCCGGATGAGCCCGAGACACCAAAGCTAGCACCCGGAGGGTAACGCAAGACTGGATTAAGGGCCTTTGTTTCTAAGGCTGTTTCCCAAGTGGAATTGTACATTCCAAAAGAAGAAGTGACGAGATGGCAAGAGTTGACAGCGTCACTCAACATCCCTCAAAGCAGACGCCAAAAGTAACCAGGCTATTTCCACCCCCCGCTAAGAGTCTTACCCGCACTCGCAGGACAAGCTGGACTCTGTTACATAAGCGCGGCTTTGCCCAGACGGACACAAGGGACGCTCACATGGCCAAGGCAGATCCCGCTCGTGCCGAGCGCCTCTTGAGGTTGAAGGCGCGACGCCGTGCCGGCCGGCTGAGCACAAGACATTGACTTTGACTTTTTCCCCTTAGGACACCGCCAAAGACCTGAAATGTGTGAGCCCCTGCCCTTAGCCCCAAGGAGGCCTTGAGAAGGGCCTGCAGGTGTGAGAACCCCCATTCCAGGGTGACCAGCCTGCAAACAAAGTTGTCAGGTTCAAGGGGGTTGGCTGTTGCAAATGAGCCTGAAGCTTTTCACTTCCCTCCATCCCTGCTGGTAGCTTCAACTATTTAATGAGACGATACCAAAGCAGTGAGTGGCATGTCGTTAACGCGACAACCATAGTTTCCCATGGGGAGGGAAAGGGAGAGAGAGAGAGATCTGTACCTGGATCTCCTGACTCCGAGGCACATGTGCCGCCTACTATGTCATTTTCTAAAAAGGTGTTCGGCCTCTAAGTAGCAAAGAGCTTGTTGCATTCTGGCCGTTGTGGACTTTACGTCTTGCCCTGAACATCTTGTCTCCCTCTTACATCATGAGCAGGAGTCTCTGTTTATATCCTGCAGGTAAAGCCGAACCAAAGAGCGCCAGAGTTAATCCCCCCCACCCCCACCCCACCCACCCTGGAAAGTGAGGTCGGCGAGCGCGTGACAGGGAGAAAGACTACGAACTGTGTGCGATACCATCTCCCGGCGGGGGGCGAGGGATCTTCATGTGATAGTCATAGCGAGTCTGCTTGGTCCCGTCTCTTCGGAGACACTAACCCCATCTGGTCGCATCGTTCGACCATATTTTGGAGCACGAGATCATATCAACATTTTAACACTGATGACGATAACCTCCCGATAGAGCGATCAAGCGGCAGCACCAGAGACTACTGATCTGAATGTCAGATTCCCTTTAACGAGTGCAAACTGAACAGAACAAACGGCGAGATAACACTGCTGCTGCCGCTTGGAGCGCCCACAGAGCGCTTCCTGTGTCACTTCCTGACGCTTGCTTCGCGACACACACCTTTGTCTCATGTCGACTGATGCCGACATGTCACTCTTGATGCTTTTAAACAAACAAGCAGTCCCTCCGTTGTCACAACGCAACCCCCCCCTCGCATGATCAGTGTTGTGGCGTTTGCGTTTGGGGGGGGGGGGGTGGATCCTCGCAACAGAGGCGCCATTATGAGGCCCAAAAAGTGTCGAGGTCGACATCTGCAAACTGGTGAGCAGACTGTCGATGGGACAAACAGCGGCGGCAAACTGCTGGCGAGTAGCACAAAGAGGGCACTGTTGGTTTGAAACGGGAGCGCGTCCGCGTCTGCCGGCGTAGAGGCCTAACTAACCGGATTCCAGGAACCGTGGGACCGGACGAGTACCAGTAAGTGGCCCGTGACTAAAAACGCCAGTCGGACCTTAGAAGGGGGGGGGGGGGCTAGTATCGGCCCGCGCTTTCGCTTTTCTGTTTCGTCCGTGTGTGTGTGTGCGTTTTGGACACTGACTTTGGTGATGTTTTGGGGGTTACTATTTTAGTTTCTGAGTTACTATTTCAGGTTTTGCAACACTGTGTCATCAGCTTCAGTGGAGTCCACTTCCTGTAAGCCTCGGTGGCCACGTTATGAGGGAGCTGTTTTGAACAAAACTTCAATTTCACTGAATGATTATTGTTGGAGTGCAATTTAGTCTTCCCAGGGGGTCATTTCAGCTCCACTTTTTCGGGCAGGGGCTATCAGACGAATGAAAAAGCCAAATAAAAAAGCAAAACCCACAAGTGGAGTCAATGCTTTCGATGTGATTTCCACACAAAGTCATTGTATATTTTTGATAGCGCTTCATCCTGACTGGGGTCGCCTCTCTCGACTGACCTTGGCCCAGGGGTCGAGGTCCACCTTGGATTGGTCCCCAGCCAAATTAGCCCCAGTCGCATTCACACCGAAGTAGAGTCCCAGCTAATGTGCATGTTTGCATGTGTTTGGAATGTGGGGGGAAGTTGGAGTCACGGGTAAAACGAATGGTAGACTAGGGGGGTGCAAACTCGGTCTGGAGCCAAGATTCGAACCCTGAACCTCAAAAGTGAAAGACACTTGTACTAACCACTATCGGCACCGTGTTGCCAAACACTAGACCTTTGATGAACAATATGTTATGATCATAGAAATATTTTTCGAGATGTTATGTTTACACGACAGGAAGTCGTAACTTGACAGCGCGATCGGCACAAAACCTGTGCGGTCTTTGTGGATGCATTCGTGGACCGTTTGGAAGTTTGACCCAGTGAATTAAAATACTCAAGACTTGAAAGCACGTTGCATTTGGACTTTTTTTTTTCTTTATCCAACTATGTTCGACCAAAATGCCTATTCACTGGGGCGGAAAAGCACGTCTCCCTCTGGGGGCTTCATAAATAGTGAGAGGGGAGCAGCAGCCTCATCCGATTAGGCAAAAGTAACTCAAGCTTTATTCGCTGCAAGATGAACACATATTATCGTGCAAATGAACTTGATCTAACTTTGCAGCATCGACCTGTTAGCGTAGCTGTGTAATAACAAAACTACCGGGAAGCTACCAAAGTGCCTCGGAGACCGGGGGGAGCAGGGTCTGACTTACCTCGCTTTCAAGTCGCTGTGTGGAAGGGCCTCCGAAAAAAAGTGGTTTTAGTGACCCATTACAAAGTGGATGAAACCAAAAAAGTTTCCGAGACGACAAGGAAGCCACACGGGAAGCTGCGGTTCCCCGGATGCGTCTCGGTCCAAACTCCGGCTCTTGTCGTTTGCTTGTGACTGAGCGTACACGCCGCAAGCAGAGCAAGCTTCGAGATGTGACGTCAAAGCCCGAGCGTCACGTGGGCAGAAGACCGCCAATGAGAAGCCCAGTTGGGCTGTCAACACAAAACCCGGCAGTTCGTTTGCCGGACAATCATCGGACAGTACTTTAGTTTCGCCTAATGGATGGATGGAGAATATTTCGACAGCTGGGTAGACTCATACGTACAATTTCCGAAATTTTCCCAATGTCAACAAGGTATCATAAAAAAATAAAAATAACAAAGTCAATCATATATGTTGCACATACAGCACATTTGAAAAATAAAGTCAATCATATATGTTGCACATACAGCACATTTGACAAAGTTGTACTTGACTTGAGATAGATATAGATAGAGATCAATCAAAACGTTGCATTATTTTTTTTTAATTTGTTTTTTCCAGGTGATTTTGCATGGTTTCCAATTAATCCCTTTATGATAGTTTAAAGCATTGAATGATTTTAATTATTTTGTTAAAAGTTATTTTGGAGGATTGCATGACAACACGGAGGGAGCTGCTAATGACAGTAGCCAGCCTCTATGTACTGTACATGTGTCCTCATGCAGGCACATTTGGAGCCACGCTTTGCCTTCGCCATAAGATGATTAGCAGGACACAAAGCCGCCGGGGCTTATTCAGCTGCTGTTCTCGGGCGTCTTTTCTTAATGGCCTTAGGATACACCCTTAGAAATGGCCCTCTCTCCCTTTTGCTGAGTCAACAGGCCGACCCGGCTGAGCGTGCTGATACATTGAATGCTGGTTTAGAATGAGTCCTGCTCTTTGCCTTCCAAACGTGCTTTCCCAGAAGGTAATTCATGTCTAATAAAAGCAATACTGTGAGTGAGGCAGGCATGGACTCCGGATTTCTGGTTGTGGTCCTGGAAATGATCGATTGATGGATGAACGGATGGGTGTCTTAACAACCTCAAACAGAGTCTTTATGAAATATGATTGTATTTCGAATGGCCACTTTGGAGCCCCCGCACAATGAGATACTCTTCATCAAATGGCCACACCAGCGAAATGCATCTCGTCCTCAGTTGTAGGATTTGTTGTCCCGCATCATTCCAAGCAATAATCTGCTCAATCTATGGTATGAACCATATAATCTGCCGCCCTCGAAATGCGTCCATTAAAATGACATAACGACATCAATGCCTTAATGCGAGTCGCGTCGCACGGCCACACCGTTCGGCGCTGCGCTTCCCCCAGTCGTTTGACAATGTAAAGATGCCGTGACCTTTAGCCGCATAATCCGCCGGGCTGGTTCGAACCCCGGGGGCAGAGAACGCCTGAGTGCTGGGAAGCGGCAGCCTCTGACTAATAGCTTTGCATCACATTGATCTGACCAGCTGTCTAGCAAAGAGAAACCCCACGCCAACCGCCGCTCTCGACCGACACCGCCAGTGGTGGGAAGTAAGGAAGTAAAAACACTCGCTTTACTGCCATCAAGTCCATTTAGTAGATATCTGCACTTTACTTGAATATACCACGAACCACGTGTGCTTCGTGTGTGTCCATGCAGCAACCGTTTCAAGGTCCATCTTTCGTGTTTCTCATTCCAGTCGAACCTCGTGACAACGCATCTCAAGGGACGTCATAAATCTGTATAACGGTCGTTCGTCATAACCATTTCCGATAAAATGGCCGCCAGCTACTAAGCATAATACAGCCTGAAGGTGGAGGTACTGCAGTTTAAACGCGTCAATGACAAATCTGTGTGGGTGAAGAAAAAACGATTTTGTAAGACATGAAACAACCAACTGTAGCGTTGCCACTTCATCTCTGAAAACATTCCCTGAGCAAATGTTAACCGCCAAAGGCAACTGCCGGTGCCGCCGACGAAGCCACCTGTCGTCCATTTACAAAATCTCGGCTGAGCTTCCTTTTAAAGTAAGAGACAATTTCAGACTTGACAGAAAGCAACATTTGCTTCTGATTGACTTTTGTACTTTTTTTTTTTTTTTTTTTGCCTGTACTTTTTTACTCAAGAACAAGAGTGGAGTCAGTACTTTGGCTTTTCGCAGAGTCTTTATTTTCCAATCAAGAATCTGTTCTTCTACTTCAGTGCAGTGTGTGACAGGGATGGCACGATAGCGGGGCCAAGGGGGTGCTCCAGCCTTGTCAGACAGGTGTGTAGAAATGGGTGCGTGAATCCTTTTGCCACTTTGTGTCAACAGCGAGCGTGGTGAGGCGAGGCGAGGCGAGGCGGCCCCATGGCAGCGCACGGGCAGCCTCATTAGGTAACAGCGGCTTCTCGGGGTGGCGAGGCAGTCAGAGGCCGCTGATCTGCAAAGGAGGAGACGAGCCACCGAGCTCCTGTGATTATCTCTTACCTAACCACTCTGCGTCAACCTTGGACCGCCTCCAGTGGTGGCCATTCACTGCCTGGACATTTCATTCAGCAGATCCTCAAACTCAATGCAAGAAAGCACGTTCTTCTTTGCCGTTGTGCGGCACTTCCTCAGATCGGTTGAGGAACTATGCGTTGTCGGTCGCGGAACGGAACACCTGAGTCGAACTGCGATGCCCCTTCACATCAAAAGGAACGGTTGCTGTTGTCGCTCATCTCATCATGTCAGTGAGGCAACCCGCATGGGCTGCACGACGAGGCAATTCTGTCAGACAGGATAAAGATGCGCACGTTTCGCCCTTTGCATATGACTCCATGGGTGGGATCAAGTGGGATCAACTCTTGTGTGCGATGGGAAAAAGGGAGGCCGGGCTGACCTGTTACTTCACTGCAGCGGTCGACCTGCGTCACCTTTGGCGGACTTAACGCCCAAGCTTGACCAGATTACAGGTGACTTTATTCTCAAGCGGGGACATGCTGAGCGATGGCGTGTTGAGCTTCATCGCAGCGTCCCGTTAAGGAGACGGCAGGTGCCTTGGCATGTGCTTTGCGGCCCTCTCGCGCAGGAGAGCCAATTCGGGGGGGAAATTAGTGAATGAATGAATGGTTGTCAAAGGTGACGTTGACGAGTGTGCAAAAAATGACAAAAGAACATATTGCAAAGGATGAGGCAAGGCAAGGGGAAAAGATAGAATTGCTCCTTGATTCACATGACTGAAGTACATTTCTTTTTTAATGCAGGCAAAAAGAAATCCTCTATGTATATATGTCTATTTTTCAAATATTTTGTTCTGTTTTTTTGGACAAGCAAAACAAAATCTTGGTAATTAATGTAACTGATGTATTCAGACAAACTTTGTCTGAATACATCAATTGCATGAGTTGAGCAAACTTTTTGTAAACTGAAATTCATATGGTGACAGCCTATGTTACTGCCACCTCGTGGTAAAATATTGTAATGCAAGGCATTACTTAAATAGACTAATAGGAGCTCTGCGAGAAAAAAAACCACATGATCCGAGATGAAGATCATTCAAAATGTTTCCAACTTGTCTCAACATCGATAAAAGCACTCGCAAAAGGCAAGGTACTCAGGAACGCTGAGAATAAACCAACGCAATGTCAAGAAGCCAGTAACGCAAAGCCAAAGATCCAGAGCAATAAGAACAAAAACAATACTTCGAAACTAGAAACTATGAATAACGAGGGCGACCGTGGAGCGTATGGAGAGGTCTAGAAAATGACACTTGACACAGCACTTTGGCGAGCAAGGCCAATAATCCGACAAGAGACGAGGCAGCTTGGCGGTCCTTAAATGCATGGCGGGCTCCCGCTGGAGGGAAAGGCCCTTCGCTCCGGCTGGGGCTGAAAACAAAACAGAGACACAGATGACAAAAGTCAAGGTTGAAAGTGTCTGCATCGCGATTGAGTCTGTACCTCATATGATAGTTGAGATACTGAACTAGTCTGAGTCCGTTTCCAATACTGTCATCATCACCACACTTTCGACCGGTGCACCTTACTGGTTGGACAAAATTTTTCCCTCCCACCCAGCCGAGCCACAAGTTCCAATGAGGATCATTGACAAAACGCAGACGTGACCGACAAGCACATTGCTCCGGCTGTCTGTTATCGAGTCATAAAATATGCGACGTCATCCTGCGATGATGAATTAACTCAGCAGCTGCCATCATGAGTGTCCACAGAGCGAAAAGACTGTGGAGACGTAAGGAGCAGGCGTGAGCATCACATGGTAAGGCGCCGCTGTGCCAATCTTTCTTTTTTAACTCCATCAATATGCAATTTGGTGAATCAATATGCAAATGTTATCAAAACGAGCCAGAAAGACCAAGATTATTTCCAATTCGTTGAACAACAAGACATTTATTTCTAAATAAGTGGCATGCTTTTTGAACAGGGATTGGTTTCTAAAATGGCCCTTGAAGGTTAAATCCTTTTCATGAGATTCTCGACGAAAAAACTCATGCTTGGATGCCTAATCTGGTGGCTCAAAGTCCACTGCCTTCAACCGGAGCTTGCCATCTTATGTTTGACTTTGCTGGTAACTGTACAACTTTCATGCCTCACATTCGACTACTTCTGTTGTACAGTATTTTTAAAAGTCTTAATTTTAACAGTCTTAGTTTTAACAGTCTTTGTCGCTCTTTGGTGATTTGTCCAGTCGATTTCTCTACTTCTCCTCCAGGCGACGGATGGCGGCAAACCATGGGCTCTGATCTCCGACGCGGGCGAGCGGGGCATCCTGGAGCAGTCCATGGACATATTGAGGCAGCACTTCCGGATCGTCCGCCTCCAGGACCTCCTGGCCGACCCGGCGGCGCACGGCCCTAAGATCCAGGTCCTGTTCATATGGCTGCAGCTCCCGAAGGCCACGCCAGAGCTGCTCACCTTGCTCCCGGCGCTCAAGGTGATCGCCAGCGGGGGGGCGGGATACGACCACCTGGACCTGCCCTACCTCACCCGCTTAGGGGTGAGGGTGGCCAACACGCCCGGCGTGGTCAGCGAGTGCACGGCGGACATGGCCATGGGGCTCCTACTGGCCTCGGCGCGCAACATCGTTGAAGGTGACGGTCAGTCAACTCGTAGCAACGGAGCAATGTAGCCGATGACAACGTGGTTGCGTTCCATTTTCCATCGAAGCAACTTAGTTTAGCCTGGGTTGTAGGCGGAAGTCTTTGCCGCCTTCGCCGCCATGTCCGTGCGCACCAAAGGCGTATCTTCTGTCAGCCATTCATTTATCAGTGCAATGGCATTTGAGTGTTTTGGCTATACTGAGGTCTGCGTAGTGTGACGCCGCTGTGTTTGCAGGTCACCAGATGATGATGGACCCCAAGACCACCGTCTTGCCGCAGTGGCTGGGCAGCGTCGAGGTCTCAGGATCCACTCTGGGGATCATCGGAATGGGAAATATCGGCTCCAAAATTGCCAAGCGGGCCAAAGGATTTGATATGAAGATTCTGTATTACAACAGAAACCGACGGTAAAAAAAAGTGACCGTTCGAGGAAATTCATCGTCAATGTTGTTCATACTCATTCAAGCGTTGACCTGGACTCAGCATTTAACCACTGTATCTTGTTGCTAACCAACTCAGCAGCACCCAGACAGTAAACTGTCTCCGACGAAATTAAATGTGGAGACTATTCAAGATGAATTTGTTTGTCTGTTTCGACAATTGGCGTTCTGCCATGCGGATGCTCCACAATCTTGTGTGTATCCTTAAAAAAGAAATGCCTCCCTCAAATAGTAACTACAATTGCCTGAGTTCTTAGACTCGACTGAGATCCGATATAAAACATATCCACCTCACCTCTCATAGAAGACTCTTCCTTAAGTCCAGTGGAGCACAGAGATGCCCGACAGCAATGATTTGCAGAAGCGAAGAAATTATAGTCACTAGGGAGGTGTTGATTTTTCTCAAGTACAATTTTTGAGATTTTGTGGAATTTTTGAGCGGGTCATGTCATCAGGAGTGTGGAGGAGGAGGAGGCGTTGGGGGCCATCTACTGCGGGAACAAGGCTGACCTCTTGGGCCGCTCCGACTTTGTGACCCTAGCTGTGTGCCTAACACCTGAGACCACTGGCCTCATCGGCGCCACAGAGCTGGCCCTCATGAAGCCCACTGCCACGCTGATCAACATCAGCAGAGGTAGCTTTGGAGACAGCGAACCCCCACATATTTGGGGTTTGGCATTTGCAAATGCATCTTTTTGCTGATGTTGCTCCTAACAAGTATTGCTTTGCTTGGTTCTTTCCTGTATCCCCAAAACAAAACTATTGATCACTGTATTTTGCATAAAATGCCAAACCAAACACATTTTTTGAGGATGCCCTTGTTTGTTCAGGTCCAGTGGTGGACCAGGACGCCTTGGTTAAGGCTCTGCAAGGCGGGACCATCCGAGCCGCTGCCTTGGATGTGACATATCCCGAACCTCTACCAAGGTTCTCACATATCAATTTAAAGTTCCCAGAGCCTTTCATGCAATCATATTTTCCATTCGACCCAGGGATCATCCTCTCCTTGCCGTTCCCAACGTGCTGATCACCCCTCACTTTGGCACAAGTACCATCACCACCATGAGAAAGATGACGCAGAAGATGGTCAACAACGCCCTGGCTGCCATGAAAGGAGAATCCATGCCTGATGAATTGAAATGCTGACTATTAGACCAGTGTTTCACAACCAAGTTCAAACACACTGCTAACATGACTCCTTTCTATTGATAATCAATTGTATTTTTCTTTACAAATAAAACAATAATAGATAAGGCACAGTAGCTGTAACCAATGGGATAATGACGTCTCCAAATGCCTTTATTTTTAATTGAAGGTCTCCAAACGTTTTTTTTTTTAACTCAATTTGAAAAACGTAGTACAACATACAAATATGGCAACAATCAAACAATTGTTTTCAACAAAAATCAACACTTGCCAAGGGAGCAGTGGTTATGTAATAACCAGCTTGGAGATAACAAAAATCAAACAAATACAATAAACACATAAATATTGATTAAACAAGACATATAAATATTATATTTATATATTATATTTAAAGAGAAGAGACAAAAATAAAACCAGACCATATTCAACTAACTACATGGGCGAAATCCTTCAAGAAAACGTCTGTTAACGTAACATCTTTGCCAAATTATGGTGTCCTAATATTTGCCTGTTTAAAAACAAAACAAAACAAAAAAAAACTTCTTTTAAAATACCCAATCATGTCTTGATTTTAAAACGTAAATTAATTGGTGACATGTTAAGAGAGGGATACTGTCTACCAACTACCATGGGAGATTTTCTCAGAGCCCTTTTCAGTCCAACATTTAAATAAGGCATTTCGGGGGCCTTCAACGAGAATGAGTTGTCGACGCCGCACGAGAAGGACCCAGAGCGCCTGACATGAAAACTGGAGGAAGTAGAATGATTCAAGCTTTTAATTTTTTACAGTATTAACAAAAGAGAAAAATCACACAAAACAACCATGTTTATCACATCACAAAACTCCCCGCCGGTGTTTAAGGATCTGACACTTGTTATGGTGAGTCTGGTTTATGTACATCGTTAATTACGAAGAAAAACGAGAGAAATGAACGTATGCCTGTCCGTCGGTCCATCCATCCATCTTTTCTGTTTCATATTAAAATTAAGTAAAACCGATGGCCTTCTGTACCGCTGACCGATGATCGTGAGGATGTTTGTTTCGTATGACGTCAGCCAGCGGTGGCGGTGGGCAACGTGGGGCAACTGGCGGTGGACCTCCTCATATCCACGCTCAGCCTGCCCAGGGTGGGCTACCTGCACACGGACTGCGTCATCCCCATGGCGGGCAACAACCCGTACGCCACCGGCCAGGACGACGCGGGGGAATTGCATACGGCCTCAGAAGGTGGAAGACTCCGTACTCCGTAATCTGAACATGCGGAGCAATAATAATAATAATAATAACCATGTTTTCTCCCTCTTGTCAATAGTATATGCCGCACCTGAGCTCAAGCTAGCGGTTCTTCAGATCAGGTCACCAGTTGTCAAGGTACGTCAATCGTGTGATGAGCTCACAGACAGGCAACGTTTAGTGAAACAGTTTACAAAAAGTCACAACAACGGCCTTGGCTGTGTTTGCAATTTGTTTATGAATCATGATAATAATTGAGTGGGCATTGTGTTCCTCCTTCCGGTGCACTCTACTTGACCACCAGGGGTCCGCATAATAAATACAGACGTGTTTTTTTTTTTTTTTTTAATGGCACAGAACGCCATTGCAACTTAACTGATGTCAACTCTGTGAAGTGATGACCCCCGCCCGCTTAGCTGCAAAGAAGCCTGCATTTCGATGCACATGCACGCTAATTTGTCATTGTTTTCCCTCATGCCTCGCAGAGCAAATCCAGACGGTTCCGTCAGCTGCTGCTGTCGTGGATCAAGGCCAGCGGCTTCTCCCGGACACTGGTCCTGTCCAGCAGCCACGCCTACCAGAGGGACGACCAGCAGCTGCGAGGGTAACATCACCAAACTCATCCTTTTGTTGAACCTTTAGTCACAGTCAAATTGACAGTCGATTTTATTGCCATTGTTGGTGAAAGATACATTCGCGAGGAATTCTTTTCCAGTTTTACCCCCTCACGTTTACGTTAACAAGCAAACAAAATCTTTTACATTTAGACATTTTCAACCTAACCATAAGGTAGGAAAGTATTGTAAAAATGCCAACATGTCAGGGTTCGAATGTCCAAAACGGTGAATTGGCAGTATTAAAAATTGTCGATAAAGCCAGGGTGCAAAGGGCGAACTGCCATATAGTGGGGGCAGGGGGCACACCGGAGTTCACTTTGTTTGTTGTTCGCTTTTTTCCCCACCCAATTCTATAGTTGTTTAGAATGTTTAAAGCATCCTCAACTTGTTTGAATGTCATTATTTTAGTCATGCATTGTAATGTGTTCAAATCTGCCAGTTTTCACTGACTATCAAAGTTGCCAATTGAAGTGGCTGGTCAAGTAACCAGTCGGCCCCTGCTTAAAAGATCGTAAAGTTATTTCGGGTTGTATGGTGGTTATGTTATTATATAGTGCCCGCGCGCATGTGTGTTTTGAGCACTCCGTTCAGGTACCTGGTCACGCCGAGCCTGCTGAGGAGTAGCGGTGATGCCTTCAAGGAGCTGGGCTGGAGGGAGCTGGAGAGGCTGCCTCTTTGTCTGGGACGTTTAGACGCCGGCGCAGACGAGACAAAACTCGCTATCCCCGGCGGCGGCATCACGAAAGGCCTCTACACGGACAGGTACGGGGTTTATTTTCTTCAGTGGTAGTCAGCAGCAATGTGGCTGTTAAGAATGCGGGGCTGTTAAAGTTGCAGAGAGGACGTGCCTCTGGCCGTGCTGCTGCTCTTCTGCTCGGAGGGAGACAACGTGCCCGACGCCCTGTCGCTTGTCAGTCACCTGGACGACTGGCTCCACCTGCTGGACGACGCGGTAAGTCAAAACACTGCGACGAGAAAGCGTCACCGTTAAGTGTACGCTGGGAAATAATCGCATTTCCCTTTGACGGTTAGAACTTAAATGACTTCAAGTCATTTATCTTTGTCCATCTATCCGTGCCGGTAAAATTCCGCCGCAAGGGTTTTAAAATAGCTATAAAAGAAATCTCGCCTTCGGGGCCAGCTGACTGGAATGAAAGTCTCTGTAGTGTTTCGGGCCTGATTCTGCACTGCCGTTTTGATTAGCGCAAGTGTTGAAATGGATTCAGCAGGTACTGTGGTTCTTTGTTCCAGAGCCGGGAGGTCAAATGGAAGATCCCAACTTCCTGGAATTTGCTGTTTGGAAGCGGCATCCCTCCAGCCATCTTCTGAATCACTTTTTGTAACCTTGCTCTAGATTTCATTAAAAAGTTCTATCACCGAGAACCAGAGTGAATGTTTCTCTCGCTTGACCTCATTCACTCCTTGACTAACCGAAAGGGCTTGGCCCTGCGCCACGCAGTGTTTCCTGGCAGTCCCGCCCCCGCCGTGTCTGTAACTCGACTCTGAAACAAAAAAACGCTTCACGGCCCCCCTCAAGTTTTCACTTTGAGGGGGAGCACATTTCTACGTGTCCATGAACAAAACGTCTCTGCGGCATTTCTGAAACAACCGGTTGAAGGATCGGCTCACATTTGAAAGCAATCGCCAAATTCACGGTTTTGCACAGAAGGCCATCCGTTCTGTCAATTAGAGACCATTTTTATCAGAAGATAATGAAGGAAAAAATTTCCCTTCTTTTTCTTCCCCCATCAAACTATCTGGGTTCAAATATGTAACAATCTCTTTATATATATATACATATGGAGAGAGAGAGTGAGCGATAAATCCACCTGTTTTCAAGAAAAAAACAAAACAACTATGTACATGCCATTGGCTTTGCTTCACTTCAAGTACTCTTTATATATAAAAAATAGAATATTTTCATCACAAAAAGGTCTTCTCCCCCCAAAAACTATACAGATCTGAATCATGTGAACTTGTCAATGCATAGCTCTCAATTCAGTCGGTATAAATGTGGATGACAAAAGCTGCACTAAACAAAACCGTTTTAAGAAATGCTGGTATGTTGTTTTGTTTTTTAGTAGGTGCTGTAAACAGTTTGCAGAGGAAGAGGAACAGAAGGTGCTGGCGAAGAAGAAGCAGAACAGAGAGTTTGGTGTTTTCCCTGACGATTTGTTGTTGTTGTAGCTGCTGTCGAACGCAGCCTCAGGTTGGTGGTGCCCGGTCAGGAGTCGCTGCTCTTTGATCTGTCATGAGACAAAAAGCAAGAATAAGAAAAGCAAGCTGTCGGGACTTTACAATGATGACTAGCAATGAATTGCAAAGGCATGACATGAGATGGCCACGGTTGGCATCTTGGAGAGTTTTCTCATGCATTCCGCTTGATGAGTGAAAGAAGAGTCTTGTTGTTGTTGTGACTTGCTGTCCCTCCCGGCAGAAAATGTGGAAAATGCAGGCTTAAAAATAAAAAGCAATGTGGTGGGGGAAACAAAATTTTTTCCTCCTCCGTGCCACTGTTGAGGAATAAAGGTGGAGAAAAAGTTGCCCCGTGGCACTGATGCACAGGGGAAATTGTTTGAACAAAGCGGCAGACTTCAGAAAACTGCGGGGTTGACTTCATTTGGGACAAAGTGTAAACAATTTGTTCTTCCACCCCCCCCCCCCCCCACTGCCACATTCATGAAA